ACAGTTTTAAGTAATTCATGAAGCACTGCTAAACAAATACCGTAAAGACAAAAAAAGCTGTGCTGGTTAAAATAGGAGCTCCCCATCAAAATTTAGAATCCTCAATAATGAATTGATTATAGGTCTGGGTCCGCATAGGGACGGTGTCTGGGTCCAGACTCGCCTGTTAGCGACATCTGACCTAGAAAGTTCATTAAGATCTTCCAGGCACTCTACTTCAGACCAAAGCAATGGATCAGGCTAGATTCGCATTGGCCACACCCACTGAGTTTGATGGGTGAGTTTGACAGTTTTAAGTAATTCATGAAGTATTGCAACGCAGGACCATGAAATGTAAATGTAAATAGTGAAATAATGATATATGTATTTTACATAAAATTAATCGGTATTTGAATTAATTAATGACACATTTAATATCACATTTATGTATTTAATTCCATTTTTAATTAATGAATGACACATTTAAGTAATTATTTAATGGTGTATTTATTTATTTAATTGTGGCACTTTTAGTCCTCCACAGTTTTGCTGTATTTCAGTGTATTCAGTGTGCTTCCACCTGTGCAGTCTGCTCTTGCTGCTCATTGGTTCCATCACACTTTCAGCACGGCACATTAATCTTTTGATCAGCTTTTGTTTTTGCACTCTGTGAGCAAACTTGTTAAAACTAATAGAAAAGGGTATGTGGTGAGAGGTTGAGGACTTTAGGTAAGTTTACACACTTTATATTTTATACTTTAGAGCAGACTTTCATACTTACACTTACACTCTGTGTATTGGTCAGTGCAACCCCTGTATTTTTTTTTTGGGGGGGGTTATACGAGATTAGTCTTTTTTTATTCTATTTGTTAAGCACACCCACCTTGTCCCACCCTCTCTATATACTGTTGTATGATTGCAAGCATCAGTAAGCTGTAAATAAATCCCTTTTTGTCAGTTCCACTCTGACTCCTACAATTTCTTTGGTTATCGTGTTATCGTCTGTTTCACTTACACACTGACCAGATGTGTGTTTCTGTAACCTTCCACTAGAGTGCAACATACACTTGAAAACTGAAGCAGAAATTCATTTGCTATAGAGAAACAAGTTGTCAGGAAGTTGTTTTCACACCTTCACTGTGAGTGTTAAGTGAGTGAATTCTATCTTGAATTGATGATGGTTAGGGTTGATCATCTTATTTCAATGTAAATTGATGTAGTACAATATATTGAGCTATATTACGATACTGTAAGATAGACCATATGTTACGATTTAATTTTAAAAGTCCAATTTTAGGACAACTGTCGTGGTATAAAGAACACACCACCATATCCCTAAAATCTGAGTTAAATAGTTTTTAATGCAACCAGAACATTGAGACCTGCATTAGTATTTATCACTAGAACATCAGAGCCCTCAGTTTATATTTATAACACTGCTATCTAGCCGTTTGGGGTTTAACCACAACAATCGATACAATACTGGAAAGTAAAATATCGTGATAGGGTATTTTTAAACATTTTCTTGTTTAAGTAATGTATAACAATGCACCACTGATGATGTCATTAATTAATTAAAAGTCAGTACATCTGTTCACATACTGATGAAGAAAAAATGTCACACTCTCATTTTATTTCAGCCTTTTGTTGTAACAGCATATTAACTTTAAGTCAATAAAAATGAAGTTTTACTTGTACCTCAACCTTTTACAAATAAACTATTGTGTGTTTGATCATACTGTCTGTTCTGATAGTCGTCCTACTCTGTGCCAAGACCAGTGAGTAGACCTGAACTGAAACATACTAACACATACAAAACACAAAATACCTATGGACTCCGATAATGATAAAATATGTTCTCCTCCGTCTCATTTAATAACCAGATGGTCTGTTGCACACAGATGTGTTTAAATAACAGATAATAACAGTCCACACTGAGAAACTGTACTGCTCCACATCACTGGAGGGAGCTCTGAAACAGCAATAAGACACTGCTGCATCCACACAAACTGCAGAGTGTCTGATCTTGTGTGTGGCGGAGTAGCCTGTAGGCCTACATAGTGATACACAGTATAACAGTATAACACTAGAACCGACATACACACGTTCTTACACATCTCTGTGCTGTACTATTGTGCAGATAATGATAATACCAGTAAATAATATTAAGTAAATGATAAGTAATCATAACAATGATCTGTACATAAATGAGAAGTTAAGGAATATTAAATGATTAAAATCGATATCAGTATGAATGTCTCAATACACCATGAAGACCCTTATGTTTCTGGTTCTCCTGGGAATCAGTCTACAAGGCGCAGCAGCAGGTGAGTCAGTTGATGGCCTGTGATGTTGTGACAGGAAAGGGGGAGAGAGAGGAGGGGATGACATGCAGTAAAGGACCACAGTTAGGATTCGAGCTCAGGGCCAGCAAGGACTCATCCTTGGTACAATATTTAGTGCATAGGCGCCTGGATAGCTCACCTGGTAGAGCTGGCGCCCCTGCACTAAATATTTAACCCGTTTGACATTTTATTTCAGCATAAATACAATTTTTCAAGACAGAATCATCAGAAATATTAAAGTAAAGAGTTTCTGGAGCAAAATCTTCATCTATAAATGTATTTCTGTGTTTATTGACTGCACAACAGAGATTATTAGGATGTTTTGAATCTACTGTAGTTCTTTTTGATTCTGTGTGCAGGACAATAACATTGTTCAGTGATTTATAAAACTGAAATGTTACATTAATGTTTTCTTACAGTGACTCACTCTCTGAAGTATTTCACCACAGGCTGTCATCACCAAACACAAGTGGGATAATGACAGAGCTCCGATAGCACAGAAAAAACAATACCTCACCCAGATTTGCATTGACTGGTTGAAGAAGTATGTGGACTATGGGAGGAGCTCTCTGCTGAGAACAGTTAGAATCACATGACCTGATGTAGTTTAATGGACACAACAATCTTCATCTTTCTCTTCAGTTTCTAACCAACAGTAACATCACAATAAATATCACCAACATACAGAGACTCACTCTGTCTCACTTGACACACATTTCTCTTTCTCTCATTCTCTCTCACCTCTCTTTATCTTTACTATACCTCCATTTTCTCTCTCTTTCTCTCTGTCTGTCTCACACGCACTGTCCCCCATTCCTCCCTTTGTAATCAATCTGACCTCTCTTCATCTGTCTTTTTCTCTTCTGTCCTTCGCGCTTTTTCTCAGTTACACATCATAACAATAGAGCACTGACAGGTGAAGTGAATGCCACTGATTATCATGGCTCCTGTCAGTTGGTGGGATATTTTAGGCATATAGGGATATAATATTTTGTCCTTAAAGTTGATGTGTTAGAAGCAGGTAAAATGGGCAGCTGTGGGGTTTGAGTGACTTTGATAAAGGCCAAATAGTGATGTCAAGACGACTGGGTCAGAGAATCTCCAACACTGCCGCTCTTGTGGGGTGTTCCTGGTCTGCAGAGGTCAGTACCTATCAAAAGTGGTCCAAGGAAGGAAAAGCAGTTTTTTTTTATCATATTTTAAACATTTACTTAAAGCTTTCAGCAGTCTGCTCTCGCACAGCAGTTGCACTTTTACCTTAAAGGTGCACTATGCGATCCTGCATGACGTCACTTCTGTTGTCGTTCAAAGTAAATACCAAACAGGTATGGACCGTGGTTTGTTGTATTTTGGTTCACAGCCCATGCCCCTAGTGTTTGTTTGACGTTAACGAGCCCTGTGTTGTCTCCCAAGACCGGGTTTTTTCCACAGTGTATTCAGGGGGCAGACAGCTAGCGGATCAAGGAGAGATGCCTACGATTTGAGACAAAAATGAAATCGCGCTGAAACCATGCAAGATCGCATAGTGCACCTTTAATTTAAGCATTACACTGACCAACTTGATTAGCATGACCTGAGAGCTGTACTATGAAGGGAGTTGGACCTATTCTGATTTAACTCTGTGTTATCAAGGAAAGTCTGGATTGACAAACTCTGATTGCCTACAATGGTGTTAAACGGTACTACGGTAGTGATTAAGATGTTAGTTAATTGGGTCAAGAAGCAAAAGCAAGAAAGCAAGAAAGTGAGCCTGGAGAGTTTAAATGTGTATTATGTATTGAATTAAATATTATATTAAATTCAATAAGAAAAGCAGGGATGATGCCTGAGAACTTTATGCCCTGAATTAAAATATGCTCCCTAAAGCTTCAAGGCTGAAGGTCAACCTGTGTGAATGTTATTCTACTGTTAGAATAAGTGTACAGCCAGTTGCACCAATCACCCTCTGGATTCCTCTCGAAATAAACTGTTATGTATAAAGGTCTAGTCTATGCATATTAAAAAGTATTTTTATATTATTAATTACCTGCGACCGCATAAAAAGACAGATTTTTGTTAGGATTAAATGGGACATTACAAATGCATTCTGGCCCTAGAAGCTGGCATAGATACTGAATTTGATGAGATTATATGATCAGAAGAGAATTGATATCTTTCATACAAAACATCATCAGGGTAAACTAGAGGATTTTGAATGTTTCTTAACACCCCTCACCCTCCACAAAATTGTGAGCGGAGGAGAGGGGGTTTATAAGGTAACATCAAGTAAACCATGAAGATAAATAGACATAGAGAGTAAATTGCCATGACAACATACCTCGAGTAAAACGTATCACCCTTTTGTAGTACAATAAACCTGGCAGGCAAAGAGTTACTGCTGAAGTCACGTGGATAAACCAGTTAGGTGAGAAACAATCTCACCCACCCATTTCCAGTCACAATAATTTAACTCTGCCAGATAAAAACAGAAGATAAAACAGCTGAACCAGCTTGCACAAACGTCTTTATCAAAATGTGACGCTCACGAAATGTAAGGTCACATTTTGTGTAATTTTGTTTGCTATTATTGCCTCTTGGTAAGAGCAAAAGCTTCCTTTATATGATACACTCAGAGCTATTCAGTGTTACCAGCAGGAGACAATGTGGTGCTTTGCTTCTCCTCTTGGACTCACCTTGCGCACAGACTCTTGTTTACTTCCTCATTCTGCTGAGCAAAGCTACACGGAATAGAAGCAACGGTCGCCTGTCTCATTCTTTCTCCTGTTTTACAGGAACCTTGTCTGTTTACAGGTACTCTGTCTGAGACCTGTTACAAAATCAAGATGAAAACCTTATTTTTGTTGCTTCTCTTCTGTCCCGTTTTATCAGCAGGTAAGATCATATTTTAAACTTTTACTCAGCAGTCTGTTCTCGCACAGCAAGTTTCACTTTTAACTTAATTTAAGCATTACACTGACCAACATGATTAGCATGACCTGAGAGCTGTACTGTGAAGGTAGTTGGACCTATTCTGATTTAACTCTGTGTTATCAAGGAAAGTCTGGATTGACAAACTCTGATTGCCTACAATGGTGTTAAACGGTACTACGGTAGTGATTACGATGTTAGTTATTGGGTCGGTATCAACCATTGACAGAATATAAAAGGTGTCAACTTAATCTGAAGATGTGTTCACATTAAAGGGGCATTTCCAGCAGCGCACCAAGACTGTTAATAATGTTTAATGATAATATATGGATATGAGCTGTTTAATTTAACTATAGTAGGGGCCAACAATGACAGGGAGGCCGCTCATTGTTGACAGAGTAAATTCATAACATTACAGGACTGAAGTTTCACTTTTACGTCAACTTAACACGGACCGAATGACAACCTGCTCAGAACAGTTTATATATAGAGTAAACTGCCATGAAAATGTACCTCGGGTAAAATGTATCCATCTTTTGAAGTACAAGTTAACTTGGTAGTCACGAAGTCACCTGGATAAGCCACGTTGATTCGTAGTACAGCCCTCTGTTTCAACTGAATGATACTAAAAAACAACACACTGAGTGTGATGATGATGTGTGTATATTTATACTGAATGTTTTTTTTCCTGCAGTGAAACACTCCCTGAAGTTGTTCGACACTGCATCTTCTGGAGTCCCAGACTTCCCAGAGCTTGTCAGAGCTGCAGTGGTTGATGGAATTCTGGCAATTTACTGCGACACCAACAAACAGATAGTAGAGCCGAAACAGGACTGGATGAAAAAAATATTCGAAAACGATCCTCAGCACTTGAAGTTGTACATTGGAGACTGTTTTGAAAAACAGCCAAACTTATTCAAAGTCAAGATGTACAGTTTGAAGCAGCACAGCAACCAAAGTATAGTCCACTTTTTAAACTGTTCTGTCTTGATGCAAAGACGTCAATTTCCTGTGAATATTGTATCAGAGTATTAATTTACTGATATTTTTATGAACGTTTTATACAGTTCTCTCTTGCTTGTGTATTTCCTTCATTTTTAACACCATACATACTTAATCTACTTCTTTTTTGAAAAGTAGAGTACTTTTCTAATGCAGGACAAGGCTGTAGAAAGTCAAGTGTTCAGGACTTCAAGGTTTAGATCTTAAATAAGAACCTGACTATTAAAAATAATAATTTCTTCAAAGAAATGCTGAGATGATATAGGCTTACTGTATATATTTTTAAAGTTTTATTACCCTCCATAAAATCAAGAAGCCCTTGCAAACCTTTGTGAAGCTTTGGCAACCATTAATGAGCGTCCTGTCCCACAGATTGGGAACCACTGCTCTACAAGGCCTCGATATAACAATGATCTCACACTATAACATTATTTTACACTTAAATTTAAATAGCAATTAATGCAATATTTGTAAGATCATCTTTCCACTGGAGATTTCATCTGTACATCATTATGCAGTCTCTGTTTCTGTCTCTCTCAGGTGTCCACATTTTACAGAGTATGAGTGGCTGTGAGTGGGATGATGAGACTGGAGAAGTTAATGGTTTTAGTCAGTATGGCTATAATGGAATGGACTTCATATCTTTTGACCTGAAGACATTGATGTGGATCGCTCCGAAACCACAGGCTGTCAGCACCAATCTGATGCGGGATGCTGAGAAAACTAGAATAAAATACTGTGAGAATTACGTCACTCACATTTGTCCTGAGTTGCTGAAGAAGTATTTGGCCTATGGCAACAGCTCTCTGAGGAGAACAGGTACACATGACCTGATGTAGTTCCATGGACACAACAGTGTTCATACAGCCTCAGACTGTGTCTTTGTGTTCTTTTCTTTCTGTGTCAGTTCCTGAGTGTCTTGCCAGTGGTTACTCTGTTCTTGTTCCTGTTGTAGCAAGAAGTGACTGACATCTTTGGGTGCTCTGACTGTTACTTAACCAAACCTGTAAAAGGAAAAAGCTCCCCAATCCAATTTTATTAGCTCTCTCTCTCTCTGCAGATCTTCCCTCAGTGTCTCTCGTCCAGAAGACTCCCTCCTCTCCAGTCAGCTGCCACGCTACAGGTTTCTACCCTGACAGAGCCTTAATGTTCTGGAGGAAAGATGGAGAGGAGATTCATGAGGACGTGGACCACGGAGAGATCCTCCCCAACCACGATGGATCCTTCCAGATGAGTGTTGACCTGAACCTTTCATCAGTCACACCTGAAGACTGGAGGAGGTACGACTGTGTGTTTCAGCTCCCTGGTGTGAAGAACGACGTCGTCACCAAACTGGACCAAGCAGAGATCAGAACCAACTGGGGTAAGACTGACATTAGAGTGTGTTGAATGGGACTGCATGTCTGTTGGTTGTTTGTGTTTGTATCCATCTACAGCTAACCTCGCATTCTAGTGGACCTCAGGCGAACCCAGGACGATCAATAACAATATCAATACTGTAGTCTATGCATCTTATACTATACTAGTAGTCCACAGGAACAAACCCATACGTATGTATGAATAAACTGTTGAATGTGTGACCAGGGCAGTTAAGCGCCCCGACAGCAAGTGCGACAACGCCACCCTGGGACTTTCACCCAGAGAATACCCACTTTCACAGGTTCTTATAGTACAGAGAAAAAGGAGCAGATATGTGAATTTCCAGTTTTGACCACTAAATTTATTTACACAGATTTAATGTCACTCAAAAAAACAAAACAATTTGGGACAGGTTAAAATTTACGATTTATTACCAAAATATACTTATATTCACTAAACAGGAAATTACCAGTACAAGGGGGAGGGGAGGGGGGCTGTCAGGGAGGCCTACAGGAATGAGGGAGTGAGAGAAAAGGGGGGTCTCCACCACCAGTAGGTACAGGGAAAAAGAGATCACACACACTGCAAAACAATAAAGCACATAGTTAGAATACACAGCAACGTAAGCATGCACATAGAACCCAGACAGGGGGAAACCCTCCACCCAGTAACCCACCACCTGTAAGCCTATGACAGCCCACCTGTACAAACACTAAAAAGAGCTCCACTATATCATTAACTCAAAAGTTTGGTTTATGAAAGATGATAAATAAATCCGACAACTAAATTAACCAAGAAAACAGACCAACTATCAAGAATTAACAATCTATACAGTAAAACAAGGTAACCATATGCAATAAATACATTTGTAGAAGGGCAAAAACAGCAGTAGCCAGAAGACTACATCATGGGAACAGACACCATGTTCCAGTTCCTACTGCGAGTTACATGAACAATTTATCCAACAAGAATCTGGCACATACACACCATACCCTTCTAGTGGAGGGAGCAGCAACTACCTTCAATTAGCTCCCATATTCCTGCCATTACACCTTAGTTGGGCATCGGCATCCCTCAAACAAATGTAGAGTAGGGTAGGGTGAGGCAAAACCTACTGCTGACTGCTACACAGCTATATTTAAGGACTGAGAAGTGATTAGTCTCACCTGCTGACAATCAATGATTGCAGGGTGTGGCTAAACTAGAGTGGGGAGGGAACGCTACCCATCACAATCGGATGGATGTACTTCTGTCCTTCTTTATCTGTACTGGTCTTGTTTTTATTTGGTTGCTTTCTTGTTCAACAGAGAAGTCCAGTGACATGACCGTGCCCATCACTGCTGCAGCAGTTGTTCTTGTTCTCATCCTCATCACTGCAGTTGGACTCATGGTTTACACAAAGAAGAAAGGTGAGAGAGAAAATGGAAAGATTTCAGTTCAGTATCTTTTAGTCTTTGAGTTGATGCTTTTATCCAGGTTGCACAACAGAAACAAGCATCAGTTCCCTGCACCACAGAATTCAAAGCAACCAACAGTAAGCAGTGTCAGGCTCAGAGCCTGTGAGTCATGATAGTTTGACCTTACCAAGATGATGTGGGAGAGAAGTGATGAGTAGTTTTAGTGAGTAGAAGAGAAGATCATATTCACTGGGGATAAGGTGAAGAAATAATTTGTCTTTTGTTTTGATTTCAGCCAAATGCCCTCCATCTCGTAAGTAAAACCTGCTTTTATTTTTTTTCAACTGATCTGACACACACTTTATGCTGTAGATTAAACAGGGTTTCACATTATTGTGCAGATGAACTTTTAAAGACTGTTTCCTGTATTTACTGTTTATAAAAGTTGAGTGCAGGATGAGAGGACTTTCACTGTTTGACGCTGTTTGTTTCTGACCTTACAGCTCCTGACGACGGATCGGAGCTCTCTGAGAAACTGAATCCAGAGACCTGATTGCGAAACGCACTCAATGAAGTTCCTTCATATAACACGTGTCACTTTACTTAGCTTTACAGAACTTAGACTGACTAAAACATGCTTTCTTGTCACAAAGGGATGTAGTAGTTTATGGTTTTTATATGTAAATGTTAAATGTAATCTTTTATTTCACATTATTATAATTAATATTCTAAATCTAATATAAAAACAATTTCTTCAATCAATTCTATTTCTTTTACCCTTCATTTTACATTGATGCAATAATGTTTTAGATACCATAAATTACTGTTTTTGATCATGTTAGAATAGTATTTTATGGTTTTGGAATAACTACAAGAACTATAGGTTTCTGTAAACACTGTATACAATTCTCAAAATCACCTCTTGTTGAAAATATGATCTTTTATAGGTTATAGATTTGGTGCGACAGGTCAGAGGAAAACTTTCTCATACCACAGGTTTTTCAAACGAGTAGCTTTTAGTAAGACTAGTGTAAATAGATAGACAGTGATGGTGGTTGGACTGCTGAGCGGGCCATTGCATTCACATGAAGTTGCAGTTTAGCCTGAGCAGACACAATGTAGATATAAAGCCATGTCATACAGCAAAGTATCTGCTGTTTGCTTGAGTGAATGAAGGATTTAAAGGCAGCTTAGGTTAGGTCGGGTTAGAGATGCAGTCAGTGCGGTCATTTATGACGGTACAGTCTGATACCCACTGTAGGGCTTGATGATAGGTAGAGACATCATTTCACATGAATACTGGGCATGATGAAAATAAAGGTCAAAATCAAATGTGTATATCTGTACACATAAATGTGTATGTGTAATAATGAGAAAAACCTTCATATCTTTCAATTATTATTATGCAATTAAGAATTATATTTACATTTTATTTTCCATTTTTCGTGCAAATCAATAATTTTTGGCTTTTTTCTATGACTCACTGATTTTTGTTGTTGTTGTTTTGGAAGTATCATAAAGGGGAACTATGGTTGAATTAGCCTGCCTTCTTTGGATGTGATGTCAAAGTGGTGATGTATTTTCTGAAGCTACAGTATGTTAAGCTCTCTGGCCTCCCATACAAATGGATCTAAGTGGACTCTGATGTGGTGTGTTTTTATTCCAGATTTGGTCTTGGAATTGAAAATACTAAATTGGTGGCAAATTGTGCAACTGCCATTGTTGGTGTTTTCTCTCTGTTTGGATTTGTTTTTTTTGTTTTTTTATAAATCAGGTTCAGTTTGGTTTCCATGGGTCCACTGCCGACCTCCACTCAAAGGAGAAAACTAGGTTTAGTGTGTTTCCTACAACAAAAGAGAGGAGGGTAGAGCTCAGATGCATCCATGCAAAGTAGACCTTTCAAAAAGAAGTGTAGCTGAAAAATCTAAAATAAATGCAGTAGTTTGTGGAAAGTCTACTTTTGCTCTGTGTTAGCAAATCTCTTATATTTTAATACAAAAACTATCAACACTGACAGCGAATATGTCAGTGTGACACTGAAGAGTATTAACAATGTTAGGCCCATACTGTCCAAAGTCATGATTTTTTCAGGCCAAATGAAATTACAGTGGTGGCCAAAAGGTTAGAGAAGCAAGTTTATGGCTAAACTGTGGTCAGACTGTGCTGGGCAGCTTCCAGGTATGATGAACCCCTTAAATATATAACTTTTTAAAACTCCACAACTGTAGCCCTTTGCTTCTGTTCTGAGCTCATGAGTTATGTTTAGAAAGAAAGTGAAACAAAAGATGAAGTAGAAAACTGAGAGGAAAAAAGATGTTAAAATATACGATTATTCAAAGTAAGTATTTGGGATGGAAGTTAGACGCGAAATATATACGATCGGCATATAACAATAAACTCTTATATACAAAGGTAATGCATAAGACTAAATCATTAAATGTCAGCACTGTTACTATATATTACCCTATATAATTTATATCACCCCTGAAAAAATGCTTGATGCTTTGTTGTGTAATAATGCAGAAGGAGGTCAGTCAGAGAAAGTCAGTGTTCCAACTATTTCTGCATCAAAAGATTTGAAACTTCACAAGTCAAACTTAACAGACTCAGCACAAACTCCACCTTAAATCTATGGGGCCAAATCAAAAGCAAAATAAAAACAGAAGCAGGTTAAGCAGGTTTTAATTAACATCTGATGTGTCACATTTTGTTTCTCACACTGTGTTCTGGACTACCTGACAGACAAGTAATAACAGATACAGCAACAACAGGCAACTGACATATAAACACACACAACCTTTCAAAAATGATGTGGTTCCATACATGTTAAGAGTTTATAATACTATATAAAATAATAATAAAGTGAAATTCTTATTATTCAGAGTAAAGCTGTTGTTCACCTATAGGGATCATTAACTGGTGAACAATTCAATTCAATTCAATGAGCAAGCAATTGGCGACGGGGGCAAGGAAAAACTGCCTTTTAAGAGGCAGAAACCTAGGACAGACCCTTCGGCTCTAGGTGGGTGGCCGTCTGCCTCGAACCAGTTGGGGTGAGAGAGAGAGAGAGAGAGAGAGAGAGACAGACACGGAGAGAGAGAGAGAAAAGACAAAGGTGCACAGCAACAACTACACTAATAGTGACTGATGATGATGAACATGAAGAAGATGATGACGACGACAACAACGATGGGGGATAATGAGCAGTGATTATAGTAATAATAGTAACTGTAGTAATAATAATAGAATAATAATAATAATAACACTAATATCAGTGATATTAGCAATGGGAGTCAAGCAGGACCATGGCAGGAGGCTCCACCAGGATCCATGAGAACCTGCGAGACGAGAAAGCACAAGAACTCCAGGGAAGAAGTGAAGTTAGTAACATGCATTAATGGGACATAAATTCAGAAAGAGAGAGAGAGTGCATCATGGGAAATCCCACGATAGTTCATCAAAGAGGAACGTTTTAAGCCTACTCTTGAATGTGAATGAATTGAAAAAAAATGGAATCTGGTTCCACAGGAGAGGAGCTTGGTAACTGAAGGCTCTGGCTCCTGTTTGAAGGTGAGGAGGAGGATTTTAAATTCTATTCAGAATTTTACAGGGAGCCAGTGCAGAGAAGCTAGTACAGGAGATATGTGATCTCTTTTCCTAGTTCCTGTCAGTACTCATGCTGCAGCGTTCTGAATTAATTGGAGCGTCTGAATGGACTTATTGGGGCAACCTGATAATAAGGAGTTGCAGTAATCCAGACTAGAAGTAACAAATGCATGGATCAGTTTTTCTGCATCTGTCTGTGACAGGACACCTCATATTCCAGAGAACAAAGACTCAGTCAGTGAACCAGGAAACATCATTGCACTGAAGACAAAGTTAACATCAGTTGATTCTACCAAGCTCTTTGGTTCTTCTTCTTTCTCAAACAAAGACAAAGTTATTTATGTTGCTCCTCTTGTGTCATTTTTTTATCTCCAGGTAAGACAACATTTTACAGCTTTCCTTTAAGTTCTTTCTGTTACAGCAGTTTCATTTGGCCCATGAGCTCCTGTGTAGAGCAGAATTAGTGTGTGAAATTACAGTACCTTCAAAAGAGCATTCATCTTACATAGACTACTGACAGCCTTTAACTTAACCTCAGTGAACACAATCCAAGTACAATATGTTTTAAATCCTAATAATAAAATGATGTAAAAATAAAACTATATGTCAGTTTCTGAAGAAATTGTTGGCATCATGTGGTTCGGAGCATCGAACTACACACAACAAAATTGGATCATTCTTAATTCACACAGTTTATTCTAACAGCTTTTACTCTGCAGTGTATGTATGGGGCTCTAAACATAACATAATGGGTACAGACACACTGACAGAGACATTGGTACCTGTTTGACAGGTGATACAGCTGTGCAGTACTACCTGAGTACCTGAGGTCACATACTGACGCTGTGGAAGAAGGAGGCAGTCCTTCTGTCTACACATCTCTCTCTCACCTCCTCGCAGCTCGGTCCTTTACCCACCCGACTTCATCAAATCAAGACGAAAACGTTATTTTTGTTGTTTCTCTTCTGTCACGTTTCATCAGCAGGTAAGATCACATTTTAAATGTTTAAGCTCTTTGCATTTTGTTCCTGTGCAGCACCAGGACACACTAATTAGTTTACTTGATGATGTTTTAACTGAATCATAGTGAATACATCATATTTATAATGACTGTGATAATGATGCATGTACAGTATATTTATATTGAATGTATATGTAGGTATATGTATGTGTAATGTACCTTGTTTTTCTTGCAGTGAAACATTCCCTCAAGTTTCTCTTAACTGGATCTAACGGAGTCCCAAATCTCCCAGAGTTTGAAGCAGTTGCACAGGTTGACGACACTGAGGTGGTTTACTGCGACAGCAACAAAAAGATAGTAGAACCAAAACAGGAATGGATGAAACAATTATTTGAAAAAGATCGTCAGCACTTTGAGTGGTACACTATGCAGTGTTTTTCTATGCAGCCAAACATCTTCCAAACCGCGATTTACAGTGTGAGGCAGCCCTTCAAACTTAGAGGTAAAGTATTTATGTATGTTATATGTTTTACTACTAAAGTGCTAAAATTGATATAGCTTGTATTATGAACACATGAGCATATTACACACATCTGCAAGGTAATTTGAGCTTGGACTGCATCTGAGACTGCAGGTGTCACACAGGTGTGACTTTATTTTAATAAGAGTTTAATGTGCATATAATTCAACATACCCACTTTGTATACTGCCACTGACAGTCATCTGTCAATTCATACAACAGTAGCTACTATTGTAACTTTTAGCTGTGGAAAATAAATTGGGTTTCATCACTCAGATAAAGTGCACTGATTATCTGCTCTTGAATCATGATCACACCACAAGACACAAGTGTCACACAATGCACAATATTTATAAGATCATCTTTCCACTGGATATTTCATCTGTATTCTGTACATTGTTAATTACTGTCTCTGTTTCTGTCTCTGTCTCTCTCTCAGGTGTCCACATTTTACAGAAGATAATTGACTGTGAGTGGGACGATGAGACTGGAGAGGTTAATAGTTTTATGCGCTTTGGTTATAATGGAGAAGACTTCCTATCATACGACCTGAAGACATTGAAATGGATCACTCTGAAACCAGAGGCGGTCAACACCAAACTGAGATTGGAACGTGACATTGAGTACGATGAGCACATCACTAAGATTTTCCCTGCGTGGCTCAAGCAGTATGTCAACTTCAGCAAGAGCTCTCTGCCTGGAAAAGGTAGGATCACTTGTTGTTTCATGGACACACCTGTTCATATAGCCTGACTGAACTGGCATTGTGTTATCACTCCAATCAGCCAGAAATTTACTTTTCTTAAGAATAAGAGGTAATGGGTCTTCTTCCAGGGAGGTCACCAAGTAGAACCACTATGTTTCTACAGTAGCCCAGAATGGACAAACCATACACTGGCTGTAGATAGGGTCAACATGATGACTATAATGTATTCAAATAGTTGAATGTAACTAAATCCTACACACTGAAATATTTCCACTCAACATTGACACTGTGATTGAGAACTTTACTGAGAACCATAAAAACAGGTAGTGAGTTTCTTCAGTGGTGGTGTAGTTCTCTTTTGTGTTTATATACAGCCAATGTGGAAGTTGTGTAGAAAAATGGGTTATTATGTAGCACCATCATATGTTTTTATAGTTTCTAAGATGGTTGTATGGACCTGTACATGTAGTGCATTTACCTGAAAGAAAAGTATTTTACATGTTGTGAGTTTAATGTATTTGTTGTGTCTTTAGTTCACTTAAAGGTACTCTAAGGAGTTTTTGACCACTAGTAGTACTATTGAGATTTCTGTTTACAAGTAGATTCCTGATTGTTTGTATCTTGTGCACATACACAAGGAAGCATCCTATAGCATATAATGGTAATATGCCAAGAAAGGAGAAGTAAATATGGTTCTCATCATTCTCTAACCCCCCCCTCTCTCTCTCTCCAGAGCTTCCCTCAGTGTCTCTCCTCCAGAAGACTCTCTCCTCTCCAGTCAGCTGCCACGCTACAGGTTTCTACCCTGACAGTGCCACACTCATCTGGAGGAAAGATGGAGAGGAGCTTCATGAGGACGTGGACCACGGAGAGATCCTCCTCAACCACGATGGATCCTTCCAGATGAGTGTTGACCTGAACCTTTCATCAGTCACACCTGAAGACTGGAGGAGGTACGACTGTGTGTTTCAGCTCTCTGGTGTGAAGAACGACATCGTCACCAAACTGGACAAAGCAGTGATCAGGACCAACTGGGGCAAGACTGGGATCAGAAGTAAGGACAGTGGGAATTCACATTTAGTTTATTTTACTCGATATGCTGCACATGCATTTAACTTTTGCTGACCTGATGTGACCGTCTTCATTTCTTCAGGTTTGTCAGTAACATTGACATTTTTTAATTCCCATAGAATTCACTTTCTCTACTGTCACTGTGGTAAACTGTTGTGATGTGTTCTCACTCTGGTTCAAACAGAAACTGTAGTTTCCTTTGGCGCACTATGCATTGCACTGGGCCATCTTTTTTATGGGTGTGTTAAGAATTCTGCCTACTCTTCCTGGTTATCTGGATTCCTCTGGACTGCCTGGACAAGATCATACAATCTTACTTTATACTTACAGCTACACTAGTTACATGTTCTTTCCATACGATAATAGGAGCAATTGCATTTCTGCACACTTCTTTGACCCAACAGTAGCTGTAAAACGTCTCCTTATTCTGTTGTTAGTGCCACACAGCTGTGCTAAGCAATGGTCTTACTTCCTCTTGTCTTTTGCTACACTGCTGTGTTACTTCCTCTCATCTATCCAACCTGTTCTAAGCTGAGCACTTTGTCTTGTCTAGCTGTCTTAAACCTTCTATTACAAGCAGTTCTCCATGGGGTAAGACTGGTATCAGTTATGTTGTCCATTAAAAAAGACCTGGATAATAACTACAGAGGTTAATTATATCAGCCTTGATCTTTAAATTGTAATCCCTAACCTAGGATTGATCGGATAGATAACAGGATAGACCTGGTTTACAACTAGGGTCTTATTTTCATAGTTTCGGCCATCGTTTAATTCACATTTAATACCTGGGTACACAGTGGCATTGCTACAACTAATTGCTACACATCAACTGCAAAAAACAACATGTGACAATGCATCTCAGGCAAAAGTAACAAACTATGCAACAGATTGTTTTGCAGGGAGTAATAAAGTAGTGCAGTACTTTTTTTAAATAACAACTAATGTGTAACATTTTTTTTTAAAAACAACCCCAACACTGGCTAGTAAATGTCAGTGTGGAAACCAAAACTCTGCTCCTCATACTTCAATACTAAAGTGAATCCTTTAAACTAAACATATTTATCTCCTTCCAGTGGGAGAGACAAAGTGTGAATGTTCTGTTTTGGCTCCAGTTTCTCCCTCAGAGTTTCCTGCTGGTGCTGTTATTGGAGTTGTTGTAGGACTGCTGCTGCTGGCACTCTGCATCACTGGACTCTTCATCTGGAGAAGGAACAAAAATGGTGAGTGAAGCCATTTTTTACTGTTAAATTTAACATATGGGTTGAACTCAGGGATCATATGATTAAAACATATTGATTCTTAAACTGCATTCAAATAGTTAGAATCTGTAATTTCACCTCTGTCACTAAATCTTACACACTGGTAATTTAAAGCAGTGGTTCCCAGCCTTTAACCTTAAGAGATCCCTTGTTCTTTTATAAAGTGAACTGCTGACTGAAGTGACATATTTTATGATTCTTTTATATTATATTGAACAGTAACAGTACAGGACAACTGATAAACTGTACAATGAACCTAAATAGTGAACACAATAACTGCAGGAAGTTTGTGTAAAATAAGTTATTTGGATGATTTTTGAGAAGATTATTAGGGACCGAGCCAGCGACCGCTGGAGGTCCCTATTGTATTTGCTATGTTTCTTCTTCCCTATTATTATTATTTTAAGCACTTTTGATTGGGTTTTTGCCCCCCTGAATATATACGAAAAGTAAATTTTATTTGGCAAAGAGGTCAGGCCTTGATATTCTGTGCGTCGCTTTCGGGTCGGCCACTAGTTGGCGCTACTATCATGAAAAGTGCGTTTAGGCTAATAACTTCTGCATAGTTTTGTCACACATTCAAAACTCATATCCACACGTTCAGTGATTAGAGCTGAATCTCCCCATAAAGGCCACGCCCACTTCCGCCTTGAATTTTTTACAGCAGAGCGCGAAATGTCCATGAACTACTTTTTCGTGTTCCTCCGTGGCGTAGCATCAAAGTCAGCCATTTTGATTTTTTTTGGTCATTTTTTGTGATTTTTCGTGTTCCTCCTAGGGAATTTATCGGATCTACTTCAAAATTACTCAGTACAGTCAAAAAATGGTGCTGATTAAAAGTTGTGCTATTTGAGACTGTACATTGAACGGCGTGTCTGTGGCGTGAGGTCAAAGTTGGCCACTTTGAATTCTGTGGTCATACAAACTGATTGAAAAGTTGAGCTGTGACTGTACATTAAACCGCGTGCCAGTGACAACTTGTCGATTTCAGCTGATTATACATAAAATAGTGCTCATAACTTCAGTGTGCAATGTCCAATCTCCGATAAACGGCATATATTCTGTAACAGTCTTGCCCTGAACACATCCTCATAACTTCAGCGTACGAGGTCCAATCTCAATGAAACTTCATGTGTGTTACAACAGTCCTGCCCTGAACTTGTCTACATGACAATATTAAGACATAGTGATAGTGCCACCTACTGGCAACAGGAAGTAAGCGCTGCGTGGTGATTTTGAGATGATTTACGTGAAATTTCATGTTTTGGTCCGCACGTGTAATGGCGGCACGGGATGTGGCCGCAGCACGCCCCGAGTTGCATGGAGTGCGGTCCCGCTCAACACTGCTTGCAGCTTTAATTTCTTATGAATTCAGATCAGAGATGAGTTTTCCTGATCTTTTTAGAAATCTTATTTAATTTAAATTTAAACAATTCTTCATTTATATTATGTTTTTCAATTTTTAATAATCACACCGATTTATTTTTGACAAAAAAATGTCTTCTCCCTGATGGTTGGTGATTGTTCTAGTATTAACTTTGTTGGTTGTTTGAACTTCACCGTGCCCTTATCCAGTGAGTTCATATCATAAATAATACACTTTAAAAATAACAATTTAATAATAACAGTTAATGCGGAGATATAGACCTTCTGTATGTTTTTCAGAAAAGGTGTTCTTACACCTCTTAAAATCATGAAGGTGTTGCAACCCCTGTGAAGGGGCCAGGAACCCTAGGTTGGGAACCAGTGCTTTAAAATATACTTTATTTGGTATGAAAATAAAAAGGGGTGAACTGACTGAAAACATAGAAATTCTCAGCAGATGTACTGTTAAGTCAGAGTTGATCTCCAACGTTTATATTAAAAGAAGAAACCTGTCAAATTTATAATGAATTTCTTCAAAACATGCAAACATGTTTTATTCATACTTTCAGGAATTCTGATTTAACTTTTAATACTGTAATCTCTGTTTGTGTATTCCAGGATTCAGACTTGCACAGAGTAAGTTCTCAATCAATTACTTATAAGTATTAATAATTAATCAATCATGCCCATTCCCGTCTCTCAAACATAATTATATCATTTCAAATTCAGACTCTTCATCATTGTCATTGGACAGAAATTCAGCTCCTGTCTGATCACAGTGAGTATGTCATTGTTTCAACAGTGCTGTGCACACACTGGCATAATCTACAATCTTCATCCTGTATTTCACATGCAGCTGATTTTTATCATTCACAAAGACATTCTGCATGAGAAAGAACTTCCACAGTCCATCCATTATAACTACAGGAAGCACATTTTGATTTACTTGTAGTCATATTTTAGTAATGAATTGTTTTAGTTGTAATCTAGTTTTAGTTGACTAAAGATTGTTATCGACTAAAACTACAGTAAATTTTGTTGACTGGGTCAAATGAGTTTACGGGTTTATTTAATTTAAAGTTGAATGCATTATTTAAATGTTTCTTTAGAATTTCCTAACTCATTATATGCTCCCGGAAAAAATTATTCTATAGAATAGTCAGAAATTAGTCAAAATTATTTAGATCCTCTACATTTCCATTTAGTACCACTACAACAATGTAGTACTACATGTAATTACTATTTTATATACAGTTAGGTAATCTGGTCCAGTGATTGTAGAGAGGCCGGAGATCATCAGAGTGTTAAAGAAGAAAAAATCTAGTTCTTATACACATATATTGTATTAATTTCAAGTCATAAGTCAAATATAAAGTACCGTAAGATGGTCAAATTTCACTGCTGCCAGAAACAGATGAATGACTTTACTAAAATGAATAATGTCCAATATGAACTCTAATAAGTTTCTAATAGTTTTTCAACTTTTCATTCTTTAATTTGATTTGACAGATTAAAAGAGTGAAGATTAAAAGAGGACTCCAGTGATGTTACTGCAGCATCAAAACCTTTTATTTTCTAGAGAGTACTTATTTGTAAAAAGTCTTTTTTTAAGTGTCAGTCAGAGCTGACAGAAGCATTAATGTAGAGAGAGACACAGTCATGTTCAGCCCTTTAGTTATCACATGATGGATTTCTGTTTGATGTTTCCACTTTGGAAACACACTAATGAATCCTCTGTCTGCATTAAACTCCATTGTAAACTACTGTCTTTCAACTGTGTCACAAAATCAAATCTATCAATCTGAATGTCTTAGCCCCAACATATACCACTGAGCTGCTTGTGCAATATGAAACTGTGGGGCCTCTGAGATCTTCTGGAACTGCTTTTTAACACTCTGAATGTGTATATATCACAGATCATTTTATGGTTATTTGTTTCATGTTTACTGTTTGTTATGATCTGTTCTTGTCTGAAGTACTGCACCTTACATTTTGTGTGTTATGGGTTATGGTTAGGGTAAGTCTGTTTTCTGTGTGTGTGTGTGTGTGTGTGTGTGTGTGTGTGTGTGTTTTAAATCCCTCCTGTTAATCCAGATATGAGTTATTTTACTTTTGATTAACAAATAAAAATACTTTGGAAATCTAATTCATGTTTATTTTATTTATTCATTTATTTGTTCATTTTTGAGTTGGTAGTCTGTTAAGGATTCCTCCAGTTCATGAAATCCCTGCAGCACCTGAAGGCAGCAGGACTGTATGTTGATACCAGCATCAGTGCAGAGCCAGAGCTCAGTCTCATTGAGTACAGTCATTCACTGTATTAACGTTTATTAAATCACCTGAATACGACAACAGGCTGCTACTGTGTAACCATACACACCTCTACACCCATCTTTCTGGTCGGTTATAACAGAAAGTACAATGCGTCAGTTTGTACCTTTGTAAAACTGGGCCTGAATATAAAATGACCATAACTGCATATTATTAAAAAATATTAATGATAACTTTTCTTAAATCCAGTAATAAACTTCTGCTGAGGCTCATGTCCCACCAGCCTGAAAGAGCATGACGCCACAGGACATAATGCACAACCAGGGTGTAAACATCTACTGCTCAATGTCAGCAACACCAAGGAGACACAGAGGAGTGATAGAAAGTATTCTGACTGGAAACATCACAAACTGACATGGGATGTGCACGGCCCAGAACAGGAGGACACTGCAGCGGGTGATTAAAACCACTCAGAAGATCATTGGCACTCAGCTGCCCAGCATCAGTGATACTGCTGAGGTGAGACGCCTGCACAGAGTCCAAAGGATACTAAAAGACAGCACCCACCCCAGACACACCCTGCTGCCATCTGGGACGAGGTACAGAAGTTTCTGCTGCCGGACCACCAAACTGCAGAGCAGCAACACCTCTCTGATTTTAATGCTTTTAGTCTCATAGGTGTGCAATAAAAGTCCAAGAAGCCTGTGTGTTATCATTACAATTGTTATACTGTTGTTCAAGTGCTGCATTAAATGTAGCAGTTTGTGTGATATGTTACAGTAAAATAATTCATAAATGCATCGTCCAAAAAGCCTACATAATAAATATTGTTACTGACATCAAATATGAATGTACTTTACTAATGTAGTTTAGGTCCAGTGTCACTCTGGGGTTATGTGTTAGTTGATATTGTGTTACTGCAAACAATACATGTAACAAGAGAAGCCTATTATTATTAGGTTATTATTACATTTGTTATTATGCAATATGTTACAGTACATTCATTCATAATTGCCACTAAATATGAATTGACCCTATTGGTGTAGTTTAGACCCTGTATTTTACCTTCAGTGTTGATATTTATGTAACATTTTATATGAGTCACAGTGTGATTGGAGAATTTCTGAAATTAGCAGATTTAATGTAATTGTGTGAATGTATGTAGTTAGATTGCCCAAAATTCAATTGTTCAGTTCATTTTACTGAAACCATCACCAAAGTGATCAAGTAATCAAATGAATGATTTGTAATATAAATATTATTCTCTAGGTCTAGAATAATACTGGTCTGGTTTAAATAAACCAATTATTTGTGAAAACAAAACTGAAGCAGTAGTAGTTGTGATTAATGTGCTTCATATGTAAATCTAAAATGTAGGACTAATAGTTTATTTCATGTTACAAATAATATTGTAAATCTGTTTTGAAAACCTTTCATGAGTTTTTAATGTATCGTTACACTGATGCTATAATGTGTTTCCTTGCCAAGTTTCTGACTATTTTAAATGACTGTTATGGGTTTAGAATAACTACATAAATTACAGGTTTCTGTAAACACACAAAGACACTGAATACGGTTCTCAAAATCACCTTTTGTGATGGATTATTGAAACCAAGTTCTGTTTGGTAAAACAGATTTAGGAAGATAATTCATGAAAGGTTCCTCATACCACAGGGGTTGCTAACTAGAGTGGAACCAGATAAACAGTGATGGTGGTTGACTGTTGAGCATTGAACCATGGCATTCACATGACGTTGCTTATTAAGCCAGTTGGGCCAGCCAGAAGTTTTGTCAAAGTGTCTGCTGTTTGCTTTGGTGAGTGAAGGATTTAACGACCCTCAAACTGTGTGAACAGAGACAGCACGGTGTTGGACATGTGCAAGTTGTCACATGTATTTCACATAATGTAATGAGTTGTGCACAGAGGTGTTCAGCTGAAACTTAAACAGACATTTTCTATTCCCAATTATGCATTAATATATCATATCTTATCTTCAAATTTAAGGAAATAATGACCTAGATCTGGACCTCAGTGACCTCATAGCTGACTGTGGCCATGATCATAAGAGTGACCGCTACCCTATACACTTATTGGTCAGGCCAGCAATGTCATAAATAGGTTGTTTTGAGACACTGGGGGTGTGTGGTGCAATGTCTTTCAAAGGTGGGTCCAGAGAAAACATTAGTACTTCTGGATGGTCTTGCTTTTATATCTAATGGAACAGGAGATTGACCCCCACCCCCACGTAATAAAGTTGAGTCATAACAGAAACACTCCCACTTTGCTCCGCAAAGACAAAACAGTAGACAGAGGACACAACAGCTCAACCAGCTCGGTCCTTTACCCACCCGACTTTATCAAATCAAGATGAAAACGTTATTTTTGTTGCTTCTCTTCTGTCACGTTTCATCAGCAGGTAAGATCACATTTGAACTCTTTAAGCTCTTTGCTTCACTTTCCACTCGGCTCTGCATTTGACTGCGATAACGTGAGCCGCAGAGTGCATTTGGCTCCTGTAGCTCCAGAAAACAGCACTTTAGTTTCACTATTACTTAAACTTCATAAGACTGACTTTAAATGTTTTAATAGAATCATAGGCTGCTGACTGAATACATCAGATTCATGATGGGTCTTTAATGAACGTATAAACTGTGTTTGTCCTGCAGTGAAACACTCTCTGAAATATTTTATAACTGGATCAAGTGGAGTCACAAACATATCAGAACTTGTGGCAGCTGTTGTGGTTGATGGAAGTCTGGCTATTTACTGCGACACCAACAAAAAGATATTAGAACCAAAACAGGACTGGATGAAAAAAGTATTTGAAGATGATCCTCAGCACTTTGAGTGGGCCACTCAGGAGTGTTTTCAGAGAGGGCCAAACAAATTCAAAGTCAGGATTCAGAATTTGAAGCAGCGCCTCAACCAAAGTGAAGGTAAAGTATTTATGTATATTATATTTAATGAAATTGAGCTTGAACTGCATCAGAGACTGCAGGTGTCACACAGGTGTGACTTTGTTTTAATAAGAGTTTAATGTGCATATAATTCAACATACCCACTTTGTATACTGCCACTGACAGTCATCTGTCAATTCATACAACAGTAGCTACTATTAGAAAATTGGGTTTCATCACTCAGATAAAGTGCACTGATTATCTGCTCTTGAATCATGAGCACACCACAAGACGCAAGTGTCACACAATGCACAATATTTATAAGATCATCTTTCCACTGGAGATTTCATCTGTATTCTGCACATTGTTAATTACTGTCTCTGTTTCTGTCTCTGTCTCTCTCTTAGGTGTCCACATTTTACAGGAGATGTTTGGTTGTGAGTGGGATGATGAGACTGGAGAGGTTAATGGTTTTATGCAGTATGGTTATGATCGAGAAGACTTCATATCTTTCGACCTGAAGACATTGACATGGATCGCTCCGAAACCTCAGGCTGTCACCACCAAACTGAGATGGGATAATGACAAAGCTAGAATAAAATACAATGAGAATCACCTCACTATGATTTTCCCGGGGTTCCTCAAGAAGTATTTGGACTATGGCAACAGCTCTCTGCAGAGAAAAGGTAGAATCACATGACATGATTTAGTTTCATGAACACATCTTCATTAATGAAAATAGAAATAGTTCCACTGAAGATTGACGCTGTGTTTGAGTACTTTGCTGTGAACCACAAAGGCAGATACTTCTTCTCTGACTGAGTGAGTTTCTTCAGTGGTTCTCTCATTTTTTTATATGGAGACAATGTGGTGGTTGTTATAAGGAGCTTCTCTCTCTCTCTCTCTCTCTCTCTCTCTCTCTCTCTCTCTCTCTCTCTCTCTCTCTCTCTCCAGAGCTTCCCTCTGTGTCTCTCCTCCAGAAGACTCCCTCCTCTCCAGTCAGCTGCCACGCTACAGGTTTCTACCCTGACAGTGCCACACTCATCTGGAGGAAAGATGGAGTGGAGATTCATGAGGACGTGGACCACGGAGAGATCCTCCCCAACCACGATGGATCCTTCCAGATGAGTGTTGACCTGAACCTTTCATCAGTCACACCTGAAGACTGGAGGAGGTACGACTGTGTGTTTCAGCTCTCTGGTGTGAAGAACATCGTTATCAGACTGGACAAAGCAGAGATCAGGACCAATGAAGGTAAGACTGGAATTATCTGTGACAGTGTTTTGTTTTGTTTGAATACCAATGCATCAACCTATCACAGGACACAACAACATCACAAGTAATTAGCTCCTTACTGGATGAATGAAGTAGGAATTAATAAATAGGTGGATGGATGCACGTCTGTTCTAACCTGCTTTGTGTATCTGGTTGTTTCTGATCAACAGAGAAGCCTTCTGATCCGACCATTCCCATCACTGCTGCAGTGGCTGCTCTGGTTGTCGTCCTTATGGCTGCTACTGGATTCATTGTTTACAAAAAGAGGAAAGGTAAGACAGGAACATGGAAAAGTTATCTGTGTTTGGATTTATAATTCACAAAAAGGACAAAAATCAGAGACCAAACTGAAATATATTTTCTAATTTAATTTTTTACTTTACTTTTAAAAGACAAAATAAGCCTCAATTCCTATTATGTAGCAACCAGTAGAAAGACTGTAGCATGATGATGATGATAGAGAAATGTTTTAGAGGGGTAAAGGATATTTATTTAACATAAGTAGGAGAATGAGTAAGAGAAAATGATTTTCTGGCATTTACAACTGTGACAACTGAAATTATTAATCTTCTTGTTTCAGCTAAACGCCCTCCATGTCGTGAGTAGAACTTGTTTTATTTTAATTTATCTGCTCTAACACATACTTGTGTCAGCAGATTATTGAATCTGCATACATAATGGGTTGTTTAGTAGATCAGAATAGCTTCACTAACCTTTCCTCAACGAGACAGAATGGGGTAAATGTCATTAAACATCACTGAGCCTCTGTCAGTCTGAAGCTGTTGGGGTTTGATTGTGACAGAGGAAGCATGTCTCTTGGCTCTGGATGAAACATCAGAAGGTGGGCTTGTTGCAGAGGTTGGTCGGACTGAACACCTTGTGGTGGATCTGATCAACCATCCTCTGCAACAGGTCGTAGTAGCTGTTTATTAAAGGCCGATCAGTGCAGGATAAGTGGACTGACTGTGTGTTTTTCCTTGCAGCTCCTGACAACAGCTCCGAGCTCTCTGAGAAACTGAATCCAGAAACCTGATTTACAAACACATTGTGCACACAGTGAATTACTGCAAATGGGACGGCAAAGCAATTCATTCTGTGACGTGAACTATTCACATCTGCAGTTAAACAACACCTGATATTATAAATAAGAGAGCCACATTGTTTCCTAATCCATTCCACAACTGTAAGCTTTTAAGAAAATCTTTGCTGAAACCCTTTTTTACTGGAGTATTTACAGAAAATAGTATTTTTCAAATGAGATTAAATAGTTTTAATCATAAGTTTTAAATTTTTTCTCTCCTTCTTGTTTATTTTATTTCTACTTTATTTTAATACTTTTTTGGTAAAGGCTACAAAAAAATGTTGCCTTGGAAGGATTGATTTGTTGTTATTTAATTTAATACATATTTTATGTGTTGTTTCAGTTTTGCTATGTGAAGCACTTTTGTATAGGACTCATAGACCGCGGAACCGGGGAGGCCAGGGGGGCAATGGCCCGGGTAACTTTTGTACTCTGAAAAAAACTATTATTATCATTATATGAATAAAAGCCTAAGTTGTATCTGTGTTTTTATGAGCCAAACAATACTAGTCACCACACACCTTCACTCACTCTCACCAACTGATAAAACACTCCCACTGACTGCTGCATTTTGATTTGAAATGAGTGTGCATTGTTTATCAACTACGTCATGTGTGAGCGTCGCGTGCGGCTCTGCACATCAGTCTGATATGAGTGTTGACTTGTGATGATAATGACTAGGATGTTGATTTAGATTCAAGGCAGAAAGATGAGTTTTGGTTGTGGTTGTGGACTGGATGTACTTTGTTGTTTGCTATAGTTTCATCTGTGCGTTTATGTTTTTTTAACACCTTCAGAAACTTCAATTCATTCAGAACTGTGCTGCCCGAACTCTGATGAAAACCCCGCAAATACGACCACATCACCCCCATTCTTCAGAACCTCCACTGGCTCCCCATAACCTCAAGAATCCAATACAAGATCGCCCTCATCACCCACCTTTGCATCTACAGCAATGCCCCGCAATACCTCAAAGACCTCCTTACCCCTCACTCATCCACCCGTAACCTCCAGTCCCAAAGCACAAACCTCCTCCATCAGCCCCGCTCAAGACTCCGCACCATGGGAGACCGAGCCTTCTGCTCTGCTGCCCCTCACATCTGGAACTCCCTCCCTGAACATCTGCGAAAACCCCAGTCTGTGGACACTTTTAAAAAAGGGCTTAAAACTTTCTTGTTCAGGCAGGCGTTCTTAAGTTGTCCTTAGATTTTTTTTGTTTTTTCTTAATGTATTTTATCACTTGTATTATTATTGGTTGCTGATTTTAATGTGTTATTGCCCTTAGTGTTTTTTTTGTTATTATGTTTCTTGGTTTCTGTAGCACTTTGAGATTCTTTTTATGAAAAGTGCTTTACAAATAAAATGTATTATTATTATTATTATTATTATTATTATTATTATTATTATTATTATGTGTAAATAGGCTTGGCCTGTTGTGTGTGAATGTTAGAGGGGGATCCGAGGGGTTAATCTGAGCAAGCATGTGTGCGTGTTCATCATGCGTGTACTGTAGAAAACTGCTGTTGGCACATTTTGGTGTCTTTAATAGCCATTTACTGAACAGCTCCTCAGTGACAAACAGTTAGTTTTGAGATCATCAGTAATGCTGGATAGGCTTGCAGCAGCACAGTGACATCTGGTGGCAACAGCAGCCCTTCACGACTGGAGCCAAAGTACTACAACACCTCTCTGATTTTAATGGCTTTAGTCTGTACCCCATCTAATGGCCACACCCTCTGCCACTCTGTCTCCTGGAGAGAAGGGAAAAAGACCCAGACCAACCAGAGGGGGGTGGGGTCATCAGTCACAAAATGAAGTAAAGTACGGAAATTAAAGGTAGGAACAAGAGTAAATATCGAAGAGTAGATCCAAACTCTTAGAAGGAAGAAGATTTAAGAAGAGAGAGAGAGAGAGACCGGAGTCTGTCCCTGTGCCAGATGTGAATTTCAGGGTCTGTTCTCTTCTGGGGTGAGTCTATTAGATCAAAAGGAGATGCAAACACATTTCATGGCCCTCCTATCCTGATTTACAACTAAAAAGGCATTTAAATGATCACACTTCTCTTGTAAGAAAACAACGGTTTCCTAACTCCAGATGCTTGGATCCAGAACCTGGGTGTCGAGCGTCGTTCTGATCTGTGGAGGAGTCATTGTTCTGTGAAAAAGGATAGGAAGATTGATACCTAGAGATCCCATCTATGAATCTGAAAAGAAACAGACTCCCTTGGCAGGAGACTTCTCAGCGCCAAAGTCTCACCTCCTCTCCTGGGTCAAAAAGCGTGAAAGTGAAAGGGAGGCCTTGAAAACCCTCCTGATGGAACAGAATCAAAATAATATGATGATTGTTGAATTAAGAGACAGATAAAGCATCTCTTGAAGAGGAAGAGAAGAAGTCATTGTCCTACATTTAGAATATATAACGTTTTGAGCTCCTTACATGTTGCTCCTGCTCGGCTCCAGAACACGCTAATCTAGTTTTATTTTACCTCAACTTGATAAGACCCAGTTAGACACAGGTCTCCTTTAATAGCCTAGTGTGCTGCATGTTCTGGATTTTATAGAAACTCTTTGGATGAATAAAACCTGAACCCCTTCTACACAAATATAAACTTTTGTTGATGTGTGTAGTTAGATTGCCCACAATTCCATTATTCAGTTCATTTTACTGAAACCATCACCAAAGTGATCAAGTAATAATAGAAGTATTATTCTCTAGGTCTACAATAATACTGGTCTGGTTTAAATAAACTATTTACCGTCTGTGCTCAGGAAGAGTTTTGTGCAAAAGGAATTAAAGGCCTTCCCATCTGTTTCAGATATAGGAAGGTTAAGTTCAGTGATTGAAGCAAATAAAGACTTGGGCTACTAATTTAAGTTTAAAGGTAAAATGAGTGTGATCATTGTATTTATACTGAATGTTTGTCCTGCAGTGAAACACTCCATGAAGTTTTTTGTAACTGCATCTTCTGGAGTCCCAAACTTCCCAGAGTATATGGGAGCTCTAGTGGTTGATGACATTCTGGCGGGTTACTACGACAGCAACAAACAGATATTAGAACCAAAACAAGAATGGATGAAAAGATTATTTGAAAAAGATCCTCAACACTTGGAGTTCTACACTCAAACCTGTTTCGAGATTGAGCCAAACTACTTCAAAGCCACGATTTATTATTTGAAGCAGCGCTTAAACCAAAGTGGAGGTACAGTATGTTCTATGTTATATTTCAATATTTACTGCTAAACTGTTCTGCATCTTAGTTCTTATCAACAAAGGCTAATAATAATAATAATAATAATAATAATAATCAAGACACTATCACATGGGTTTGCCAAAAGCGCCCACTGGTTATACTCGTTTGCTGTCCTTATCCAACATAAACTCATTCCCATCCTGAGATAAAGAAATTCAAACCTTCCATGAATAATTACACACAGGGAGAGGAAAAACTGGAACACAAGACATCCTTAATTTCCTTCATTGAACTGTCAGGTAACTGGACTGACGTCTGTACAGGTGTTATTTCATTTTTTTATAATGCATAATGTTTGTAGTCAAACATCAGACAGGCATTTCCCATCATGCACTAAAGTTTTTCAGTCGTTGGAGAACAACAGTTGTACCTGGCTCCAAAACTTCTGCTGCCTTGATCTGGTAAGGAAATCATTGCTGATGTCAGCATGACAACATGCTAACTAGCCTTTAATTACAAACATTACAGATGCACTTATTTTATGGTTCATCTCCACTGAAAATTATATTATTGTTAATCTGGCAAAATTGTCAACTTTTTTACAACCTGAATCATTGCCCCATCACCTATCATCTATTTATAGCTATATCTAAACAATAAACTAAACCTATTGCTGATATCTCTTTTGGTGAGTAGTGTCATCACACATGTTACCAAATGAACTGATGTCCAGACTAGAGACACAAAAATAAAAACAAGTTGTAATGAAGCATAGTTTTCCTTTTCATTACTTTAGTGGTGTATATTCCCAAACTTCCCATATTTTCAATCAAATTAGTGCAGACTACATCAGGGGTTCTCAACTGGTCTCACCTTGGGAGCCACATTTTCACATGGTCATAATGTCGGGACCCACTTTTACAGATGTTACGGCCCTGGCCGTATTATTAGTATTATGTTATGGTATTGGTTCCGTCTGTGGTGTGTGTTGGTGTTTTTTTGTCCCTGTTCCTCTGCAGGAGTGTGCAGCCTGTCGATTGTAGATCTTTGACGGCAACCCGTAGGTCAGCGCTGACTGGTCCATGCCGTGGGCTCGGCTGGTAGAGTGTCGCCTGCTGGTTGGTTCTCCCAGGGAGCCGCAACATCCGCCGGGGATTCAAAACGCCGCACCACACCCGAAGCTCTCCGACAGAACCTTCAGCAGCAGCATCCTTCTGTCCTCGGTTGTAGAGTGTGTGCTTTTGCGATAGAGTGAATTGTTACGATCTTAGTAGATAGTGTTTTTGTATGATCGTGTTTAGTGAGTATCGTAAGGGTGAGCTGCCATTTTCTTTGTACTACTTTTCTCCTGTTTTTCATTAGGATAGGGAGTTAGGTTTAATAACTGTATTTTATTTCTATTGCATAGGGATTAGTAAGGATTTTTGTTTAAGGAAGTTAGCCCTGTTTTGTTTGTTGTTTTGGCCTTGGTTCACCCCAAAGTTTGTTGTTTAGTCTTTGTTGCACTTTGTTTCACCTGTTTGAAAATAAATCACATCACTTGATTGTTAACACTGTGTTAGTTGTTCATTTGGGAATCGGGGTAGGATTATTGGTTCATTTTTCATCACACATTTATGTGGCGCTCCTTCCCCCTAGACAGGGGCATAACAACAGAATGCAAACCACGCTAATGTATTTTTCAAAAGGCTTTAATTAGGTAGACATTCGTTTTTCAAACACCTTGAACAATGGGTTTTAGAATAACTACATACTGAATACAATACTCAAAATCACCTCTTGTGATGGATTATTAAAGCCATGTTCTTTTGTTTGGCTCGAGGGACATAATTCATAGAAAGTTCCTCATACCACAGGGATTTCTAACTATGGTAAGACTAGTGGAACCAGATAGACAGTGATGGTGGTTGGATTACTGAGCGGGCCATCACATTCACATGTAGTTGCTTATCAAGTCAGTTGGGCCAACTAATGTAAATGAGCCTGAGCAGATACAATATAAAAGCTTAAAGTTAAGTTAGGTCAGTTAGAGAATGATGTGGGTCAGAGGGGTCAGTAGATTAATGACGGCACAGCTTGATACCCACTGCAGGGGCTAATGATAGGTGAAAACATTTAACATGAATACTGTCCTTCAATAGGAATATTCACCTAACTTCTGGCAAATGAATGTTAAAAACAAATGTAATGCTTTTTATTTTTCTGCTTTCTGTTTCACTTCACAATAAAATCCAGAATTTCATGTTTAAAAGTTTGGCTCTTTTTGTCCACATCTGTGACTGTAGTTGCAGTAACATGAATATTAGCTCAGCATCCTGTATACTCACAGAGGACAAAGTTTGCTCCCAGACAAGGTTAGCTTAGCTTAGCATGAATTCTAGGGAGGAAACAGCGAGCCAATAGCTGTGTAAAGAGTGCATTCTAACAACCTCAAAGCTGGCTGTCATGTAAAAATGAAACATTTGGCCTAAAAAAGGAGCTCCACAATGCTTTGCACTAATAATTACATATGTAGAACACTCAATAATTATGTAAAAGAGGATTCATCTGGGCAAAGTAGACCTGACTGAAGAGAAGTGTCAACAATGTAAGGCCAATACAGACTATACTGTGGTCAGACTGTGGTTGTACTGAGCAGCTTCCAGGTATGATTGTGTAACTGTGTAATGTGATCAGGATGTTCCTCTTAAAAGAGAGCATTGCTCCTAAAGAGGAAGAAAAAAAGATGAAGAATGATGAACAAAAACAGATTATTTGATAAGTATTCTGTCCCTCCCCTTATACCTGCTGTTGCTTCATATCTGATGTGTCAAATTCTGTTTCTCACACTGTGTTTTGGACTTTACCTGGCAGACGAGTGCAGACAAGTAATAACAGATACAGCGACAACAGGTAACTGACATTTAAACACACATAACCTTTCAAAAATGTTCTGGTTCCATGCATATAAGAGTTTATAATAATAATTTTAACAATTGTAATAATAGTAATAATAAAGTTGACTTCTCATTACAGTTTTAGTTCATCTATAAGGAATCATTAACTGGTGAACATGCCTCATATACCAGGAAACAAACTTTCTCAAACAAAGACAAAGTTATTTTTGTTGCTCCTCTTGTGTCTTTTTTATCTCCAGCTAGGACAACATTTTACAGCTTTCCTTTAAGTTCTTTCTGTTACAGCAGTTTCATTTGGCCCATGAGCTCCTGTGTAGAGCAGAATTAGTGTGTGAAATTACAATACCTTCAAAAGAGCATTGTGTTATTTACACCAGATCTCTTACAGGCACTGTGTTCCAAATTATTATGCATATACTGGTTTTGTTCTGTTTTTATAATTGGCAGTCTATAGGATTTTTTATTCCTCAACAATTATATTGTAATCTGGATTTTTTAAAACTAAATTACCAGTGATGACAATGGCAGTTTTTTTGCAAAATAACTCAAAATGCAGTGTTCCAAATTATTATGCAAAACAGAGTTTCAAAACTTTCAATTTAGATAAATTCTAAAGTTAGTCCATTTACAGTTTCTGCCTGTATTTCCTTATAGGATGCCAGAATATCCTCCTAGAGCTGCTGTTTTGTGGTAAACTGCCACCCACCCTGATAGAGCTTCCTTTTAAGGATGCTCCACAGGTTCTCAATAAGGTTGAGGTCAAGAGATGATGGTGGCCACACCTTAAGTTTTTCTCCCTTAATGCCCATAGCAGCTTAGGCCTCAATGTTATTTGTTGCAGCATGGGATGGTGTATTGTCTTTTTTTATACCATGGTAGGAAATGGGTAGTTAGAGGTCATTCTGACACCTTCAGGCACCTTAAAGGGGCCTACCAACTCACTTCCCAAGTTTCCAGCCCGAAACATCACTCCACCTGACGTTGCAGCCTTGTTGGCACATGGTGGCCATTCAGAACTCCATCCATCTGGACCTTCCAGTGTAGCACGGCATTCATCAGTGAATAAAACTGTTGACAATTAGTCTTCATGTATTTTAAGCCCACTGCAATCATGTCTCCTTGTGGGCATTGTTTAAGGGTGGCCGAAATACAGCTTTATGCACATCAGCAAGCCTCTGGAGGATCCTGCATCAAGAGGTTTTTGGGACTCCAGAAGCACCAGCAGCTTCAAATACATGTTTGCTACTCATCAGTGGCTTTTTCACAGGAGCTCTCTTAATATGAGGAATTTGCCTTACAGAAACTTTCCTTAACACGCCTTCATCTGAACGAACCCGTCTGCACTCTGAATCAGACACAAATCTTTTCCCAGGACGATGATCTCTCTTAATATTTCGTAAAATATCCAGTGGCTTCTTACCTATTGAAAGATACTGCACTAATTCACGCTTTTCATCTGCAGAAAGATCTTTTCCCATATTGCATGAAACATGTGTCTTGCCTAATAATGTGGAACAATGTCCTTAAGTAGTTTCCCATTAATTAGCCTCACCTGGAAAACTAATTAAGACAAACCTGTCTGAGATTGATGTCAGTGATCTCAACGGACATGCAAAGCAGCAGAATCAAAAACCTTCATTGAAAAACTAAAAACTCAAATGTTTCTTTAATTGAAATCATATTTGCATAATAATTTGGAACACAGTGTAGACTACTGACAGCCTTTAACCCTAACACAATCCAAGTGCAATATGTTTTAAATCATAATAATAAAATGATGTAAAACTAAAACTATAGGTCAGTTTCTGAAGAAATTGTTGGCATGATGTGGTCCGGAGCATCGAACAACACACAACAAAATTCGATCATTCTTAGTTCACACAGTTTATTCTCACAGCTTTTACTCTGCAGAGGATGTATGGGGCTCTAAACATAACATAATGGGGACAGACACACTGACAGACACATTGGTACCTGTTTGACAGGTGATACAGCTGTGCAGTACTTCCTGAGTACCTGAGGTCACATACTGACGCTGTGGAAGAAGGAGGCAGTCCTTCTGTCTACACATCTCTCTCTCACCTCCTCGCAGCTCGGTCCTTTACCCACCCGACTTCATCAAATCAAGATGAAAACGTTATTTTTGTTGCTTCTCTTCTGTCACGTTTCATCAGCAGGTAAGATCACATTTGAACTCTTTAAGCTCTTTGCTTCACTTTCCACTCGGCTCTGCATTTGACTGCGATAACGTGAGCTGCAGAGTGCATTTGGCTCCTGTAGCTCCAGAAAACAGCACTTTAGTTTCACTATTACTTAAACTTCATAAGACTGACTTTATATGTTTTAATAGAATCATAGGCTGCTGACTGAATACATCAGATTCATGATGGGTCTTTAATGAATGTATAAACTTTGTTTGTCCTGCAGTCAAACACTCTCTGACGTTTTTTCTAACTGGATCCAGTGGAGTCCCAAACTTATCAGAGTTTGTAGGATCTCTAGAGGTTGACGGAAGTCTGGTCGGTTACTGCGACAGCAATAAGAAGATATTAGAACCAAAACAGGACTGGATGAAAAAAATAATTGAAGATGATCCTCAGCACTTTGAGTGGTACACTCAGCAGTGTTTTCAGAGAGTGCCACACTTCTTTAAAGTGGGGATTCAGGATTTAAAGCAGCACCTCAATGAAAGTGGAGGTAAAGTGTTTTTGTTCGTTATATTTATACTTTTTTACTAGTAAAATGATTTGAATCCAGGTTTGTTGTTTGACACACAGATATAAGATAGCTAACGTGCATACTAATGAATTTGAGCTTGGACTGCATCTGAGACTGCAGGTGTCACACAGGTGTGACTTTGTTTTATTAAGAGTTTAATGTGCATATAATTCAACATACCCACTTTGTATACTGCCACTGACAGTCATCTGTCAATTCATACAACAGTAGCTACTATTGTAACTTTTAGCTGTGGAAAATAAATTGTGTTTCATCACTCAGATAAAGTGCACTGATTATCTGCTCTTGAATCATGATCACACCACAAGACACAAGTGTCACACAATGCACAATATTTATAAGATCATCTTTCCACTGGAGATTTCATCTGTATTCTGTACATTGTTAATTACAGTCTCTGTTTCTGTCTCTGTCTCTCTCTCAGGTGTCCACATTTTACAGGAGATGTTAGGATGTGAGTGGGATGATGAGACTGGAGAGGTTAATGGTTTTATGCAGTTTGGTTATAATGGAGAAGACTTCATATCTCTTGACCTGAAGACATCGACATGGATCGCTCTGGAACCTCAGGCTGTCACCACCAAACTGATGTGGGATGCTAAGAAAGTTAGAATAGAACACAGTGAGATTTTCATCACTAAGTTTTCTGCTGAGTTCCTGAAGAAGTATGTGGACTATGGCAACAGCTTTCTGCAGAGAAAAGGTAGAATCACATGACCTGATTTTGTCCGTCCCATTTTCTCTTCATCTTGATTCCTCACTCTTGAATTGCTTCATCTGAGTATTCCCTTGTTTTTTTCCTTCCCTGTTCTCCCTTTTTTGTCTTTCTTTTTTTTTTGGAACTCATATTTTATTTTTTACCAAAATATCCCATTCCATATATCCATACAATACAATCTTACATTTTTACCTTACACTTCACACATTTACAGCTGCTTTGATATCCACTTCACTATATACCTACACATGTAAAATTAGACAAAATACACAAGTCAATGAGTAAAAAACTAAAAGAAGAAGAAGAAGAAATAATAATAATAATAATAATAATAATAAATAAGACAAAAGTACACTTTTCTTATTGCATTAACAAACTCAATACAGGGCTCAATTTCTATTTCTTTATAAATGTGGGTCTTTGTAGCCTTATTGCATATGTAATTTGTTCCATCTCATACAGTTCCCATACTTTTTTAAGCCATATATTATATGTTGGTGGTTCAGGTTTCAACCATCTTATCGTGATACACTTAATAGCAGCCCCCAAGAGTATTTGTGACAGATAGATTTTGGCTCTTCCCTCAAAACCTTCTGGGATTGAACCAAGGAGGACTACCCTCGGGTCATTAGGGATGTTTTGGTGAAACACTTCTCTCAGGGCATCTAACTCAACAATCGGACGAGACCAGAAACTATGAGTGTGGTTCCCACTTTGTGGTTCACAGTTTCTCCAACATTTGTCTGAGGTCAGGACCCACTTTGCTGTTATTTGTGGTGTCCAGAAATATCTTATTATAACTTTCAATCTAAACTCCCTCCAGATATTTGCGTTAGTCATCCGATGTGCCTCCCCGCAAATCTCTGTCCAGGTATCTAATGAGATATCTGCATTCATTTCAACCTCCAATTTCTCCTTTGTTTGTATAATGTTGTTTGGGTTCATTAACAAAAAAGTTGAATATAACTTAGAGATCACCCTTCCAACCTCATTTCCAGCTTGTAATTCAACTCAGATTTTTCACTTGTTCCCATTCCTTATGTGTTGTAAGAAAATGCCACAGTTGTAAATATCTAAAAAAGTCAGTCTTTGGAAGGGTGAACTGTCCTGTCTTAATTGTTCGGATGACTTAAGCTCTCCATTATGAATGAGCTGATACATATAACACAGTCCATATTCAGACCACTTTTTGAAGCCTGCATCCATATGTGCTGGTACAAAACCTTTCATGTGACCTATACTGCCCGCTGATGAGATTTGCTCTGGCAGGTTAAAGGCAGTCTGTACAGCTTTCCAAATTTTAAGTGTTACTCTAGTCCACTCCCCCATTTGGGTATTTTTTAGACTAACATCTAGGGAGGGCAGTACTTTGAGGGGTATTGGCCTGAGGCCCTTTTCAATATCAAGCCATCGTGTACATGACAAATCCTTAATCCAAGAAATTAGGGGTAGGAGCGTACGCTGTGTTCCCCGGGTCCTATGTTCCCCGGGTTCTATGTTCCCCACTTTGTATGGGACCAGGGAACCCCTAACCCTAAACTTAACCTTAGCGGGGGAACATAGGACCCGGGGAACATAGGGATGACCCCCTCAGTTGTGCGGCCCAGAAGTAATATCTAAAGTTTGGAAGTCCCACACCCCCATTTGGTTTAGCTAACTGCAATGTTTTTAATCTTACTCTTGGTCGTTTTCCTTACCAAATTAATTTTGAAATCATTTTGTTTAATTTATCAAATGTTAATTTAGAAATTTCTATGGGCAGCATCTGGAATAGATACAACAACCTGGGCAAAACATTCATCTGTATACTCTCTACTCAACCTATTAGGGATAGAGGAGGTGTCAACAATCTTTCTAGATCCTCACTGATGCTTCATAAAGTTTTTCTGTAGATGGGGGATAAAAATACCCCAGTATTTGAAACCATCCCTAGTCCATTTAAACCCACTGTTAAGTTTAACCGATATTGGAATTTGGCCATTAACATCCATAGCTTCAGTCTTATCCATATTAACTTTATATCCCGAATAATATCCGTACTGGAGAAGAATATCTTTTAAACGTGGTATTGTTGTTGCAGGTTCCATTAAGAACATCATTACATCATCAGCATAAAATTATAATTTATGTTCTTCACCATTGATAGAGATGCCTTTAATATTACAATCATCTCGGATGAGGTGGGCTAGGGGTTCAATACTGATAGCAAATAACAAGGGTGAAAGAGGACATCCTTGTCTACAAACCTGCTCTAATGCAAAACTTGCCGATATATGACCATTAACTTTGACTGAAGCCAGTGGACGTGAATAGAGTATTTGTATCCATTGTGAGAAGTCTGAACCAAATCTGCACCTGAAACAATATTCCTTTAAAACTTTTATAAAATTCATTAATGTAGCCATCAGGTCCTGGACTTTTTTTTCAGAGATGCGATTGTCTCTTTAATCTCCCACTCCTCAATGGGTTCATCTATGTCTTTTGCCATTGTCTCGGATAATTCAGTTAATTTTATATTTTCCAAAAAGGATGTTAGGGTGTTAACATCAGAGCAGGTGTCAGTATTTTCATACAATGATTTATAGAATCCAGCAAAACGTTCAGCTATTTTATCCGGTTTTGTAATAGGATTAGGTGAGTTATTACGTTTTAGCTTCTGTACTATGTTTGACGACTCAATATGAATGCTAATAGTCAGCTAGCTCTCTTACCATGCTCATAATACTTCTGATTGGTGAACCTTAGATTGCCTTTAATTTTCTCAGTGACCAGATTATTATATTCCCTTCGTGCATCTCTAAGATTAGTTAAGAGAGTAGGATTTGAGCTCTGCTTATGTTGTTGTTCCAATTTTATAATCTTTTGTTCTAGTTCCTGTTGTCTAGCATCCCTCTTTTTCTTTTTGGCACTCACGAAAGAGATAATACGACCCCTAAGGTAGGCTTTTGCACAGTCCCATAATAAAAGTGTTGATATTTCTGGGGAAGTGTTGGTGCCCAAATAGAATTTGAGTTCTTTTGTGATGAGGTTGATGAACTCTTTATCATTAAGGAGAGATGCATTTAACCTCCATTGTCTAGGTGTTGACTTATGTCCTATGTTTCATGAGAGTTCAATAGGTGAATGGTCAGAAATTGTCATTGGTAAAATCTTCAAGTCAGCTATTCTGTATAGTTCAGCCTTGGGGGTAAAAAAATAATCGATTCTGGAATAGGATGGATGCCTATGCGAATAAAATGTAAAGTCTCTACAACTGGGGTATTCGCTTCTCCATGCATCAATGAGTCCCAGTTCTGTAGATTGATATTTTAATGTTTTACTCATTCGAGAGGGCATAGTAGTGGAGACTGGCTGTTTATCCATAAATTGTGTCATAACACAATTGAAATCTCCACCCATTAGCAAGATCCCAGAACTATGCTGTGTTATCACGTTGAAAACTTTTCTAATGAAATCTGGGTTGTCCTCATTTGGAGCGTATACATTCATAAAAGTAACAATTAACAAAATAAATCTACCCTCTGTATCCTTATGGATTGTGACCAAACTGAAATTGACTTGTTTATGGATCAAAATGGATACACCTTTCTTTCTCCCCGATGGATGAGATGAGAAGTATACTCTAACAGCCCATGATTACTTTAATTTTTCGTGCTCCACATCAGATAAATGCGTTTCTTGTAGAAATGCTATCTGACACTGAGATTGCTTCAGCTGACGTAGGATCTTTTTCCTTTTGAGAGGGCTGTGAAGTCCTTTAACGTGCTCACCGTGGTTTGAAGAAAAACAACTTCATCCGACCATGTTGAGAGCCCCCCCTCAATGTCTCTCATATTTCCTCTCATTTGCTCAATTTCGGACCGGATGGCAGTGACGTTGTTCACAATATCATATTTTACCGCTTGTAGTACACATTTTAGTGCGTCAAAATCTTCAGCTACCGCGTTTTTCTGTTCCTGCCTTATCACTATGGATATATCCGATCTCAGAGAAGAGAGGATGTCCGACTTTATCACTTCCAGATCCATGCTTGTAGCTTCTGGTTTTGTTTGCGCAGCAGGTCGGTTGGGGTTACCTTGAGCACCTGGTGATGAGGCCTCAGGCCATGTGCTGGAGGAAGAGATTTGCCGCCATTTACAGCAGCGAAAGCGACTGATGTCAAGCGTTGATGGTTGTTGACGAGAGGGGTATATGATTGAAGTAGTATTTCGTAGTTTGGATGCCGTTAAAACATCAAATTATTAGTGGCCCTGCTGGAGCGCTCACAGACACATCTTACTCCATATCTTGCTCAACAGCGCCCCCCCTTTATTGTCTTTCTCTACCCCATATCTGTTTTTTGCCTCTTTCTCTCTCCAGAGCTTCCCTCAGTGTCTCTCCTCCAGAAGACTCCCTTCTCTCCAGTCAGCTGCCATGCTACAGGTTTCTACCCTGACAGAGCCTTAATGTTCTGGAGGAAAGATGGAGAGGAGATTCATGAGGACGTGGACCACGGAGAGATCCTCCCCAACCACGATGGATCCTTCCAGATGAGTGTTGACCTGAACCTTCATTCATCAGTCCCACCTGAAGACTGGAGGAGGTACGACTGTGTGTTTCAGCTCTCTGGTGAGAAGAATGACATCGTCATCAGACTGGACAAAGCAGAGATCAGGACCAACTTCGGCAAAACTGGGATCAGAATTGACAAAGGTGAGAAACACACATTTAAAAAAAATCTTTATTTATGCTTAATTTTCTCATTGTTTGTTTTTAACTTTTGTCATCCGTTCCAACTATGTGAATAATCAGTCTTATTAATTATTTTAAGACAAAGATCAGCAACTCATTTATCTTTATTCCTTTATTTATAAAATAAAATGTTACATATATATATATATATATATATATATATATATATATATATATATACAACATTTATATATTAAAGTCACAGAAAGTTTAAACTTATCTTAAAGGAACATTCCAGCAACTTAGTTCTGCACTTTCTTAAGGCTGGCTGTCTTGCAAGAGACATAGCACCAGTGGCTGACATATTCTGACTTTTAGTCCCCAAAACAACATCGTCACCAAACCGGACAAAGCAGTGACCAGGATCAACAGGGGTAAGACTAGAAATAGTTTTGTTCGTCCACTAAAGCTAGACCTCCATCATAACTACAAAGGTATGTTAAACAGAGGAACCCACAAGCAGACCACAAACTCAGTAGATTTCCAAAGACAGGCTTTATTGAGAACCGGGGGATGAAATGGTGAGGTGTAGCGCCTGCTGGCATTGGTGAGAGGACATAGCTGAGACCCAGGCAGAGGGGAACTTGAAGATAGAGGCAGCATGGCTGACAGGAAGGAGCTGGCAGGTAGCTGTGGACCGGGGTGTATATGCTGCAGGACTGATGAGTTGATGGCTGGAAGGTTTGAGCAGTCAGACAGGTGAGCAGGTAATCAGGGAGAGTGGGAGGAGTCCACACACACACACACACACACACACACAGAGAGAGAGAGAGAGAGACACACACACAGGGAAACCGAGGAGAAAACTACTACTGACTATAACAAAAGGTTATGTTCTAAAACTTGTGTTGTCAACTCCACTGTTGTGTAGCTGTTGTCAACTGTAGAAGGGTTGATCGGATGTTAACTCTTCGCTCCAAATTTTACATCTTAATCCTCAAGATTGGGCATTAATCCGGTTTACAATTTGGGTCATATTTCTATCAGTCATGACAATGTTGTACTCTTCAAAGTCCTCAATAATATCTGGGGACACAGTGACATCAGTACAACACACAAGCATGTAAGTGGGAAACAAGATTCTTAGCTCTGAGCTCTCACACACATGTAAGTGTCAAAGGAATCCAGAACGATACTTTTCATGTGACTGAAATACATTCTGTTTCTCACTTTACTGTCTTATTCACACAATCTGCTTTTCGTAGTTCAATACTAAAGTGAATCCTGTAAACTAAACATATTTATCTCCTTCCAGTGGGAGAGACAAAGTGTGAATGTTCTGTTTTGGCTCCAGTTTCTCCCTCAGAGTTTCCTGCTGGTGCTGTTATTGGAGTTGTTGTAGGACTGCTGCTGCTGGCACTCTGCTCTCTCACTGGACTCTTCATCTGGAGAAGGAACAAAAATGGTGAGTGAAGCCATTTTCACTGTTAAATTTAACATATGGGTTGAACTCAGGGATCATATGATTAAAACATATTGATTCTTAAAGGTCCAGTGTGTCACATTTAGGAGGATCTATTGGTAGAAATGGAAAACAATATTAATTTATGTTTCCATTAGTCTATAATCAACTGAATTCAGATAGTTGGAATCTGTAATTTCACCTCTGTCACTAAATCTTACACACTGGTCCTTTAAAGCAGTGGTTCCCAGCCTTTATCCTTAAGAGATCCCTTGTTCTTTTATAAAGTAAATTGCTTACTGAAGTGACATATTTTATGATTCTTTCATATTATATTCAAAGCACAACAGTAACAGTACAGGACAACTGATAAACTGTACAATGAACCCAAATAGTGAACACAATAACTGCAGGACGTTTGTGTGAAATAAGTTTATTTCCCATGAATTTAATCAGAGATTAGTTTTAATGATCTTTTTAGGAATTTAATTTAATTTAAATTTTAATTTAAACAATTCTACATTTATATTATGTATTTCAATTTTTAACAATCAAACATGTTATTCTTGACAAATTCAGTGTTTTCTTCTCCCTGATGGTTGGTGATTGTTCTAGTATTAACTTTTTCAGATTTTTGAACTTCACAGTGCCCTCATTCTGTGAGTTTATATCATAAATAATACACTTTAAAAAATAACAATTCCATTGAGTTAATGCTGAGATATAGACCTTCTGTATGTTTTTCAAAAAAAGTGTTCTTACACCCCTTAAAACCGTGAAGGTGTTGCAACCCCTGTGAAACTTTGGTGACCCCTAGTGGGGGCCAGGAACCCTAGGTTGGGAAACAGCTCTTTAAAAGTTATTTGGTATAAAAAATAAAAAGGGGGTGAAATGGCTGAGAACATAGAAACTCTCAGCAGATGTACTGTTAAGTCAGAGTTGGTCTCCAACCTTTATATTATAAAAATAAATCGTCAAATTTATAATGATTTTCATGTTTCATTCATCCTTTCATGAATTCTGATTTAACTTGTAATACTGTATTCTCTCTCTTTGTATTTAAAGATTCAGACTTGCACAGAGTAAGTTTCCAATCAATTACCTTTAAGCATTAATAATTAATCAATCATGCTCATTCCCGTCTCTCAAACATAATTATATCATTTCAAATTCAGACTCTTCATCATTTTCATTGGACAGAAATTCAGCTCCTGTCTGATCACAGTGAGTATGTCATTGTTTCTACAGTGCTGTGCACACATTATGTACACTGGCATAATCTACAATTTTCATCCTGTATTTCACATTCAGCTGATTTTTATCATTCACAAAGACATTCTGCATGAGAAAGAACTTCCACAGTCCATCCATTATAACTACAGGAAGCACATTTTGATTTACTTGTAGTCATATTTTAGTCATGAATTGTTTTAGTTGTAATCTAGTTTTAGTTGACTAAAGATCATAAGATTGTTATCGACTAAAACTACAGTAAATTTAGTTGACTGGGTCAAATGAGTTTACGGGTTTATTTAATTTAAAGTTGAATGCATTATTTAAATGTTTCTTTAGAATTTCCTAACTCATTATATGCTCCCGGAAGAAATTATCTAAGATTACCAACTCTGGGTCATTCCCTTCTCTAATCAGTACAGGACAGAGGTGGTTTCTTTTAGCTTGTATTGTTTTTCAGCTTTAGCAAAAACACACCAGCTCAGGATAGCTTCTAAAATAATGTTAGCTTCTAACCTCCCTACCACACTCAGAGATTAGTTCTGCTCATTTTGTCATACAATAGTCAGAAATTAGTCAGAGATTAGTCTGAATTATTAAGAGCCTCTACATTTCCATTAAAATCCTGTAAAATTACACATTTACAGCCAAATGTACTCAAGTGCAAAGTATACAAGTATAAAAGGACTGTGTGATATAACACTACAGGTGGTGTTAGTTTTTTACTATTTTATATAAAGTTAGGTAATCTGGTCCAGTGGTTATAGAGAGGCTGGGGATCATCAGAGTATTAACGAAGAAAAAATCTAGTTCTTACACACACATATAAGTCATAAGTCAAATATAAAGTACCATAAGATGGTCAAATTTCACTGCTGCCAGAAACAGATGAATGACTTTACTTAAATTAAAATGAATAATGTCCAATATGAACTCTAATAAGTTTCTAATCGTTTTTCAACTTTTCATTCTTTAATTTGATTTGACAGATTAAAAGAGTGAAGATTAAAAGAGGACTCCAGTGATGTTACTGCGGCATCAAAACCTTTTATTTTCTACAGAGTACTTGTTTCTAATTTGTAAAAGTCTTTTTTAAGTGTCAGTCAGAGCTGACAGAAGCATTAATGTAGAGAGAGACACAGTCATGCTCAGCCCTTTAGTTGTCACATGATGGATTTCTGTTTGATGTTTCCACTTTGGAAACACACTAATGAATCCTCTGTCTGCATTAAACTCCATTGTAAACTACTGTCTTTCAACTGTGTCACAAAATCAAATCTATCAATCTGAATGTCTTAGCCCCAACATATACCACTGAGCTGCTTGTGCAATATGAAACTGTGGGGCCTCTGAGATCTTCTGGAACTGCTTTTTAACACTCTGAATGTGTATATATCACAGATCATTTTATGATTATTTGTTTCATGTTTACTGTTTTTTATGTTCTGTTCTTGTCTGAAGTACTGCACCTTACATTTTGTGTGTTATGGGTTATGGTTAGGGTAAGTCTGTTTTCTGTGTGTGTGTGTGTGTGTGTGTGTGTGTGTGTGTGTGTGTGTGTGTGTGTGTGTGTGTGTGTTTTTAAATCCCTCCTGTTAATCCAGATGTTATTTATTTTACTTTTGATTAACAAATAAAACTACTTTGGAAATTTAATTGATGTTTCTTTTATTTATTCATTAAAGAGAGTTTGTTGAGTTCACAGATTATAAATATAATATAGAAATATATCTATATGAATATCAAATTTGACTTGACTTGTAAGTGCTGTAAGTGTGTGAGTGAGTTCAAATATCAGGAAAACCATAATGAGGGTGTGCCTTGTAAGGATTTCAGGGTTTGTCTCCAAATCTGCAGCTCCTGTGGAGTGTTCCCGGTCTGCAGTGGTCAGTAACTATAGATAGTGCTCCAAGGAAGGAAAAGCAGAGAGAAAAGGTGAAAATGAATAAAGCTGAGCTGAGTTTATTTTGTTTTATATGATTATTCTCTCTGTCTCTTTAGCTTTGTCATATGGTCAGTTTTCATTTGTTACTCCTTCTAAATATAAAATTGTTTAAAACTTTGAATGAATATTTTGCTTGTCCTTTTATCTGTGATAAAAAAAAAGGTTTGCTGAAATCTAATCCAAGTATGTTATACTTTGTGTATAACATATATTTTAATATTAAAATGATTCATCATCCCTCCTCCCTACCTCAATAACTCTCGTACAGCCCCTACCAACAGAAAGACTCCCACATCCGTCCGCAAGGAGGAAGCCGCAGCTCGGTCCTTTACCCACCCGACTTTATCAAATCAAGATGAAAACGTTATTTTTGTTGCTTCTCTTCTGTCACGTTTCATCAGCAGGTAAGATCACATTTGAACTCTTTAAGCTCTTTGCTTCACTTTCCACTCGGCTCTGCATTTGACTGCGATAACGTGAGCCACAGAGTGCATTTGGCTCCTGTAGCTCCAGTAAACAACAGCACTTTAGTTTCACTTTTACTTCATAAGACCGTTATACACCGATCAGCCGTTACAGGATGACCACTGACAGGTGAAGTAACACTGATTCTCTCGTTATCATGGCACCTGTCCAGCAGCGTAACATATTTGTGATTGGACCCGGTGCAAATGTTTTTCTTGTGGCCCCCGCCCCAAATAGCACGCAAATCAGAGTTACATAACCACAGAGCAAATAGCGATCAAGAAAAGCACAGCAACGCTTCATAGGCCTACACAGTATGAATTAATGGATAATGGGATCTGAGCACACAATTAATGAAGAAACAATTCATTCATCATCAATGACACAGCAGCCTGTTATCACACACACAGATTACAGTCAGCATTTTCTGACATTTGAGAGGTAATTTAAATCCCTGACCCCACTCCATAACAGACACCGACTCATTTAAAGTCATCCTACGGACCTTTCACTCAGCAAAGTCATTAACAACACTGCTCAAGTCCAAATTCCTCGCTCTGCTATTCTCTATTAAGAGTAAAGCCAATCCACTGAGTCTTTCTTTTCCCGTGCTGCTCGAGCTACTAGTCACTGCTGGACTCCGTATGTGAAGACGTGAAAGGGCCCACACACAGACACAATTGGTGCTGTCCCTCCTGGGCCCTTATAAACAGCTGAGCCCAGGCTGCACCGTTGGTATTCACACCACTGCCCCAGTCAGTGGCTGGGATATATCAGGCAGCAAGTGAACATTTTGTCCTCAAGTCAACGTTGGATCGATCCAACAGACGAGCTACTGTAACTCAAACTGCTGAAACAATTAATGCTGGTTCTGATAGAAAGGGGTCAGAACACACAGTGTGTTGGAATAACATTATGACCACCAGGGTGTCCAGTTGGTCATATTATGGCTGATCAGTGTATATTTTAATTGAATCATAGGCTACTAACTTAATACATCAGATTCATGATGGGTCTTTACTGAATGTATAAACTGTGTTTGTCCTGCAGTGAAACACTCTCTGAAGTATTTTCTAACTGGATCCAGTGGAGTCCCAAACTTATCAGAGTTTGTAGGATCTCTAGAGGTTGATGGAAGTCTGGTCGGTTACTGCGACGGCAACAAAAAGATAATAAAACCAAAACAGGACTGGATGAAAAAACTAATTGAAGATGATCCTCAGCACTTAGAGTGGGCCACTAAGCAGTGTTTTCAGAGAGGGCCAAACATATTCAAAGTCAGGATTCAGAATTTGAAGCAGCGCCTCAACCAAACTGAAGGTAAAGTATTTATATATATTATATTTTACTTTTACTACTAAAATGATTTGCAGCCTGGTTTGTTGTTTGACACACAGATATAGGATAGCTAACATGTGCATATTAATGAATTTGAGCTTGGACTGCATCTGAGACTGCAGGTGTCACACAGGTGTGACTTTGTTTTAATAAGAGTTTAATGTGCATATAATTCAAAATACCCACTTTGTATACTGCCACTGACAGTCATCTGTCAATTCATACAACAGTAGTTACTATTGTAACTTTTAGCTGTGGAAAATAAATTGGGTTTCATCACTCAGATAAAGTGCACTGATTATCTGCTCTTGAATCATGATCACACCACAAGACACAAGTGTCACACAATGCACAATATTTATAAGATCATCTTTCCACTGGAGATTTCATCTGTATTCTGTACATTGTTAATTACAGTCTCTGTTTCTGTCTCTGTCTCTCTCTCAGGTGTCCACATTTTACAGGAGATGTTAGGATGTGAGTGGGATGATGAGACTGGAGAGGTTAATGGTTTTAATCAGTTAGGTTATGATGGAGAAGACTTTATATCTCTTGACCTGAAGACATTGACATGGATCGCTCTGAAACCTCAGGCTGTCCCCATCAAACTGATGTGGGACACTGACAAAGCTAGAATAAAAGTCAAGGAAATTGACCTCACTAAGATTTTCCCTGAGTTACTGAAGAAGTATGTGGCCTATGGAAACAGCTCTCTGCAGAGAAAAGGTAGAATTACATGACCTGATTTAGTTTGATGAACACAACAATGTTCCTATAATCTGCTCAGACTGAACTGCCATTGTATTATTACTCCAATCAGTTTGACGTTATCTTATTTTTGGCTGTTGAAGGTATTATTTGATTTAGCCCTGAACAATCAGTAGAGACTGACAGTTGTAGGTGTTCTACATTACTTCCCATCAAAGCTGATACTGTGATAGCCAGACAGTGCACCACTAGCATGAGGTAAGTAAGTTTACACAGATTGTATGGATGGTATCATTTGATTTTAACGGTACTGCTATTACCAATACTGCTCATAATAAGAGAGCTGCTCTGTCCAAAGTGGGATGGATGCCATCTCATCTTCATCTGTCTATTCCCTTCCCTGTTCTCCCTTTTTCATATTTCTCTACCCCCTATCTCTCTCTCTCTCTCTCTCTCTCTCTCTCTCTGTCCAGACATTCCCTCAGTGTCTCTCCTCCAGAAGACTCCCTCCTCTCCAGTCAGCTGCCACGCTACAGGTTTCTACCCTGACAGAGCCACACTCATCTGGAGGAAAGATGGAGAGGAGATTCATGAGGACGTGGACCACGGAGAGATCCTCCTCAACCACGATGGATCCTTCCAGATGAGTGTTGACCTGAACCTTTCATCAGTCACACCTGAAGACTGGAGGAGGTACGACTGTGTGTTTCAGCTCTCTGGTGTGAAAAACGACATTGTCATCAGACTGGACAAAGCAGAGATCAGGACCAACTGGGGTAAGACTGGAAATAGTTTTGTTCATCCACTAAAGCTAGACCTCCATCATAACTACAAAGGTTATGTCCTAAAACTTGTGTTGTCAACTCCACTGTTATGTAGCTGTTGTCAACTGTAGAAGGGTTGATCGGATGTTAACTCTTCGCTTTAACTTTACATCTTAATCCTCAGATTAAGTATTAATCTGGTTTACAATTTGAGTCATATTTCCATAGTTTTGGCCGTCATTTTTATCAGTTATGACAGCGTTGTACTCTTCAAAGTCCTCAATAATATCTGGGGACACAGTGACATCAGTACAACACACAAGCATGTAAGTGTGAAACAAGATTCTTAGCTCTGAGCTCTCAAACACATGTAAGTGTCAAAGGAATCCAGAACTATACTTTTCATGTGACTGAAATACATTCTGTTTCTCACTTTACTGTCTTATTCACACAATCTGCTCCTCATACTTCAATACAAAAGTGAATCCTGTAAACTAAACATATTTATCTCCTTCCAGTGGGAGAGACAAAGTGTGAATGTTCTGTTTTGGCTCCAGTTTCTCCCTCAGAGTTTCCTGCTGGTGCTGTTATTGGAGTTGTTGTAGGACTGCTGCTGCTGGCACTCTGCATCACTGGACTCTTCATCTGGAGAAGGAACAAAAATGGTGAGTTAAGCCATTTTTACTCCACTGTTCAGTAACTTTACTGCCAAAAGAACCCAGAGGTCCTCAGCAGACGTACTGTATATACTAAGTGAAAGAGTTGCTCTCCTACATTTTTATTCAGAGCAGAGATCTGTGACATTCATGAGGAATTTCTTCCTATAAATGTATTTTATTTTGTGTCCTGTCATACATTCTGAATAACTTCTAATACTGTAATGTCTCATCTGTATTTCAGGATTCAGACCTGCAAACAGTAAGTTTAGCTTTATACAATATATACATTTATATATTTTTTTTATTGAAGAATTTTATGTGCTCCTGAGCATTAGTAATCAATAAATCATGTCCAGTCCTGTCTTATATAATTATATGATTTCAAATTGAATCATCTCTGAACTTAATTTCTGCTTCTAGCTTCAGACTCTTCAGCATCGCTGTCAGACAGAAATTCAGCTCCTGACTGATCACAGTGAGTATGTCATTGTTTCAACAAGGCTGTGCAAATACTATGTACACTGACATAATGTACAATATTCTTCCCGGCTGCATTACATGCAGCTGATATTTCTAATTCACAAAAAGTTCTGCAAGAGAAAACATTTTCTCAGTCCATCCATTATAACTACAGGAAGCAGATGGCTCTGGGGTTTTATGATACTACTCCAGAAATCAAAAGTGGAAGAAGTATTCAGATTCTTTACTTAAGTACATGTACCAACACAACAATGTGACAATACTCTGTTATCGTCAAAGTCCTGCATTCAAAAGTCTAATAGTGCTATCAGCACAATGTACTTACATATCAAAAGTAAAAGAATGTCTTCTGTGAGTGCTATAATATTACAGGTGGAGCTAGTTTTTACTGCTTTATATACAGTTAGGTACTCTGGTCCAGTGGTTCCCAGTTTAGGGGTTGAGTCCCCTGTAAAGGGAATAGAAGTATAAAGTAGCATAAAATAAAAAAGCAAGTTTCACCTTTGTCAGAAACAGATAATCACTGACATAAAGTATGTTAATAATGTTCATGAACTCTGATAAGTTTCTAATCAGTTATTCAACTTTTCATTTATGAATCTGTTTTTACAGGTTCCCACTGAAGATACAAGAGAACTCCAATGACGTTACCGTGGCATCCAAACCGTTCTTTCTTTTCCAGAGAACACTTTATTCTCATTTACAGAAGACATATTTATTTAGGAAAATATTTGGAACATTGAGATGAGAAGTCAGAGACCCTGTCAGAACAAGTATGAATTCCTTTACTCACCAAAGAAGATTATTTAGGTGTCAGTCAGAGCTGACAGAAGCATTACTGTCGAGGAAATCCTCCAGGAGTAACAACATCTGGAGTGATGCTACTGTCCAGCTACCAAAAAGGAGGTCCTGGACCTTATCTAGTTTAGATTATGAGGCACTACTTATCATTCTTTGTTGATTAGTAGTAAGTTTCATGTTTCTACTTTTGAAACACACTAAAGAAGACTTTTCACTTAACCCTGTTGTAAAATATTGTCTCTCTATTGTGTCAGAAAATCAAACAATAAAATCTTAGTCCTCATATATAAATAAGCACTAATGGCTTAGCCCCAACATGTATCACTGAGCTGCTTGTACAATATGAAACTGTTGGGCCTCTGAGGTCTTGTGGAACTGCTTTTTAAATTCTGGTATGTATACACACCAATTTTTTATCTAGCTATATTTATCTGCTGTTACATTTGATACATTTTATTGCTTTTCACTGTTTTAGGATCCGTTCTTTTCTGAATTACTGCACCTTAAAATCTGTGTTTGTGGATATGAAGTTGGGCTTTACATCCCTCCTGTTAATCCATATATGGTTATGGTTCCCACAAACTAATAAAAATGTGAAGGAAACTAAATTCCTGTTTTTTTTATTTGTTCATTTTTGAGTTCATAGTCATTTTATTATCTGTTAAGGATTGTTTAGACATTCTCAAAAAAACACACAAGGCTGATAAAACAAATGTCCAAAATTCAAATTGACATTGTGCATAGTTGTAGTGGCCTATTTTACAGTTTAATCTAATCTAATCTCAGGTGTGTTCCCACAAACACTCCTCTCGGACCGTTATAAAATAATGAAATGAACTCCACTTTTGCCAAAAGTGAACAAGAGTAACAAAGACAATTTAGGCATACAAAACCCCCATGAGGTTTAGACAGTGCACTGCAGTTGGTTGGAGGTGTGTGTAATGCTAAAATACAACAGCTGTCACAGCTTTGTTAAAAAATATTCTGTTCAAATTTGTTTAGAAAAATGAGGTTAATTTAGTTTAGAATATGAGTCAAAATATCCCATATGATATTTGTTTTCTGAAAGATTAAGAAAAAATGTTGCAGCTTAATTTGCTGAAGCTGTCAAGGGGAAAAAGCAGTTAGTTTGAATCTGGATCTTGGTCCAGTGTTAAAGTCCTCGTCAGCCACAACTTCGTTTTCATTTCTTTCCTCTTTGCCCCTTCTCATCTTTCTCTACACCCTCTCCCTCTCTTACTCCCTCTTCCTCCATTGTCTCTATCCTAATGCTATAGTCTCTGTTTCTACAGTAACCCAGAATAGACAAACCATACACTCGCTGTAGATAGGGTCACCATGATGACTATGATGTATTCAAATAATTGAATGTAACTAAATGTCACTAAATCCTACACACTGAAATATTTCCACTCAACATTGACACTGTGATTGAGAACTTTACTGAGAACCATAAAAACAGGTAGTGAGTTTCTTCAGTGGTGGTGTAGTTCTCTTTTGTGTTTATATACAGCCAATGTGGAAGTTGTGTAGAAAAATGGGTTATTATGTAGCACTATCATATGTTTTTATAGTTTCTAAGATGGTTGTATGGACCTGTACATGTAGTGCATTTACCTGAAAGACAAGTATTTTACATGTTGTGAGTTTAATGTATTTGTTGTGTCTTTAGTTCACTTAAAGGTACTCTAAGGAGTTTTTGACCACTAGTAGTACTATTGAGATTTCTGTTTACAAGTAGATTCCTGATTGTTTGTATCTTGTGCACATACACAAGGAAGCATCCTATAGCATATAATGGTAATATGCCAAGAAAGGCATTGAAGTAGAAGAAGAAGACTGTTACCAAGTAAATATGGTTCTCATCATTCTCTAACCTCTTTACCCTATATCATTTATATCACCCCTGAAAAAATGCTTGATGCTTTGTTGTGTAATAATGCAGAAGGAGGTCAGTCAGAGAAAGTCAGTGTTCCAACTATTTCTGTATCAAAAGATTTTAAACTTCATAAGTCAAACTTAACAGACTCAACACAAACTCCATCTTAAATCTATGGGGCCAAAACAAAAGCTAAATAAAAACAGAAGCAGGTTAAGCAGAATTTAATTAACATCTGATGTGTCAAATTCTGTGTGTCACACTGTGTTCTGGACTTTACCTGACAGACAAGTGCAGACAAGTAATAACAGATACAGCAACAACAGGCAACTGACATTTAAACAAACACAACCTAGGACAGACCCTTCAACTCTAGGTGGGTGGTTGTCTGTCTCGATCAGTTGGGGTGAGAGAGAGAGAGAGAGAGAGAGAGAGAGAGAGAGAGAGAGAGAGAGAGGCAACAAAAGTAGCAAAAACTACACTAATAGTGACTGATGATGATGAACATGAAGAAGATGATGACGACAACAACGATGGGGGACAATGAGCAGTGACAATAGTAATAATAGTAACTGTAGTAATAATAATAGTAATAATAATAATAACAGTAATATCAGTGATATTAGCAATGGCAGTCAAGCAGGACCATGGCAGGAGGCTCCACCAGGATCCATGAGAACCTGCGAGACGAGAAAGCACAAGAACTCCAGGGAAGAAGTGAAGTTAGTAACATGCATTAATGGGACATGAATGAGTGCAGAAAGAGAGAGAGAGAGGAAGAGAGGAGCTCAGTGCATCATGGGAAATCCCCGATAGTCTAGGCCTATAGCAGCATAACTGTGCAAACTTCCCTGCTCTGCCGTGTACGGGAAGAGCCGATCGCAACCGGAAGGACCCGAGTTGTCCCGAAGGAACGTCAGAACCGTCCCGACGGTAGCTAAGTTACCCGTCGCGTGCTGCACACCTCCTTCTCTGTTACGAGAGCGTTGAGCAGAGCCAAATAACTTGTGTCCGTTGTGCGTGAGTGCAGAGTAAGTTTATATTCACTGTTTATTGTTATGTTAGCTGCTATGTTGTAAAAGTACTGACGCACACACGTTTTTTTTTGTACATTAGATATATTACCAGAGTCTGGTTAATATGTTTGAATTCCCTAATATATATGTTCTAGACATATAATACTATTTCATTGTGTGTTTAATATTGCGTACGGGCTCTGCACCCGACGACATTTACGTTTAGTACAGTTGTTGTGTATGACAGTGTAATGATGTGGTCTGAGGCGCCCACGTGCGGCTATTACGGAGTGTCATTCCGACCTCATGTTATTTTACTGCATAGTACTGTGTATCTGTTTAGTTCACAGTCTTATTGCTTTATTTCGTTAAAATAATAATATATTTGCTGTTTATTTATTTTGTGTAATTCAGGAAACCACAACAAGACACATCCTGTACGTTGTTCATGTGAGGAATGAATAAAGAAGGAAAACATAATTCTCTGGAGTAGCTGCAGTTTTTCTTACCGGAAACTAAGGCCAGACTGTGTACGCCAGCATCCAAATATATTCTTCAAGTGGTCCTTCGAGCCGGATGTACACAAGCTGCGCCATGGCTACAAGCAGAGGCTATTACGATGGGCAGCAGCCACCGAGTCCCCGTCCCAGCAGGGTGCGACGCATTCCCGGACATCTGGAAGACTACGAACTCAGCTACCCGTTCCAACCCCTTCATCCCACCATGACAAGGACAGTGTCACCGATGACAACAACATATGTAGCAGCACCCAACATGGGAGGACTCCTTCCATATCCAGTGCCCACATATCAGTCCTACGAGAGCCCAGATGATAGACTTAAGTGCTTAGAGGCACGCTGGCAGACTATGAGACACCAAATGAGAGAGCTGCAAGCTGAAATGGACAATGTGAGGCTAACTCCTCACCCTCAGTTTGCCTATACTCAACCCACATATCGCTCACACCAATATGCTGCAGATATGCCTCAGTACAGTAGCCTTCCCCATCTAGGGAGGATTAACATGTGTCCCAGTCCAACTAGGATGGCACAGTACCCATCTGCATCACATATTCCAGCCCCAATGGTGCCCCTCTCTCAAGATCAGGACACAGCTGCTGCCTCATCAATGCAAAACGCACTCTCTGCTGAACTGACAGAAGCTGTGGAACAAGATTCTGCTGCACAGCCGGTTGACGATGTGGAACAAGCTTCAGACGCTGAATCGATACTATCTGCTCCTACTTCACAAATGACACGAGTGGACTTCACAGCCTCTGTTCCATCAGCACCTATTGACCGGGTAATCCCTGTATCATGGGCCCTGCCTGCACAACCTGTGCCTCCAGTCAACATGATAGCACCAAATCCCTCTAACTCACTGGTGCCACCTGCAGTCTCCACAGTTCCTGCCCTGCCGGTCCAGACTGCACCTGCCCCATCACGACCAGCATACAGCGCACCCAGGTATTGGCAGCCTCCTCCTCAACCATACCCTGCAACTCCTGTCCAACACTACTATCCTCAACAGCCCCCTGCAACTGTGCGGCCACCAGATAACCCGAATGCACCAGGTGTTTTAGAGATGGTTATTGCCTCATCATTTGGTATTCCCAAGCCCAAACTGATTGTTTTTAGCTCAGGGGAGGGAAAGTGACTTTCTGATGCTTAAGAAGGGCCTGGACGGTGTTCTTGGGCCCCATAGACACTTAAGTGAAGACTACAAGTATCAAGTCCTTCTAGACCACCTCAGATTCCCTGCAGCACTTCAAATAGCCAAGAGGTTCATCAATAGTGCAACGCCATACACTGCTGCATTGCAAGCCCTCATGCAAAGATATGGTCAGCCCAGACAGCTTGTGCAGGGAGAACTCAATGCCATCCTAAACGCTCCACCAGTGAAGGCCGGAGACTATCAAGGTATTGAAGATTTTGCAGCATCAGTTGGAACACTAGTGGGCATGCTAAGCACAATGCAAGGTCCTTCATCTGCAGAGCTGCGGTGTGGTTCTCATGTTGACACACTGCTCACCAAGCTGCCTGCTAACTTCAGAGATGCCTTCGCTGAATACTGCTTCACTAGGGGAATTATCCAGAGTGGTAGCGAGAGGACATATACTCTTCCAGATCTGGCAGAGTGGCTTGAGAGGAAAGTCCAGACACTACAGGTATCCCGTCGAATAGGTACACGTCCACCAGAATCCACACATGCTGACAGCAGGGAGTACAGATCAGTGAAGCAGCCAAGAGTGAAGTCTGCAACTATTCTACTCGGTAACCACCAGGGGGCTCAGCAACATAATCCAGCTCCTGCATCAATCCCTCCACCACAGTCTAATAAGCGTGATAGGTTCAAGCCCTATTGCCCTTACTGTAACAACCAAGAACACTACCTCAACGCATGCAGTGACTTTGCTAAGCTCACAAACAATACAAAGGCTGACTGGATAAAGGAGAAGAAAAGATGCTGGAGGTGTGGGAGAGGACACACATCTGACAACTGCACCTTAAAGAAGCCCTGTTCAACTTGTGGGGAACAACACTTATCTGTGCTCCATGATGTGGCTCAAATAGAGACTGTCCTGACTGTGAGTACATCCCCCAGCATGATTTACACAGACCAAATTAGCCATTCAGGTCGAGTGATGCTAAAGGTTGTTCCAGTACGCCTGCACAATGGGAAGAAAACACTCAGTACTTACGCTCTTCTGGAT